TTGCCGAAATGCATCTGTAAGTGTCGTGAAGACAGCACTGGTGTGTCTGGAGCCTTGCGTGCATTTGCTGCATGCCTTGGGGAAAACTGTCCCGGAAAAGCTGAGGACGAGTTAGATACAGGTGTGACGGGAGGGTTTGCGGAAGCAAGTCAGGGAGGAGGTTCACCTCAGGTCTCGGGAGTCAAAGAAGGCCCACTGCCATTTCAAGGCTTCTGGCACAGTGAAAAACAACAACAACTTAAAAGTAACAGATAAATTAGCATTAAGAGGTTACTAAACACTGTACTGGAGTCCAGCAAGGTAGCTCAGTGAACAGAAGGAGCCTACTGCCGAGCCAGGAGACCTGATTTTATCCTCTGACGGACCCCTGTGTGCCATGCCATTTGCAAGCACACTCATGAAGAACAAGTAAATAAATATGTAATACAAATTTTTGAATTGTATTGGGTTGAGAATGCAGCTGAGTGGTAGAACACTTGCCTAGTATGCTCAAGGCCCCAAGTTCAATCCCCAGTCCTGAGGATAATTCACAAAATAATGAAAAGATTTCTTTTACAAACTCCTTTAGAACACTTGATAGGTGTTACAGAAATGCCGTGCAAGTGACGTTCTATGGTGTTTGATGATGACTTCACATGCAGTGGTAGTCCTGTAAAAATGATATTGCCTCATGGTGCGGACACCTTAGTTTGTATGAGCGTGCACCAAGATTTCACAATAATGAGGTCAGCTACGGAGGCGTTTCTTGGAATGGATCCCTATCCTCAAGTGACACGTGACTATAGACGAACCCATTTATGGATCTGAATTGTAAAGCTTCCTGGACTATGTTTTCAGCTCATTCCTGCTATGTCTCTGCGAGCCTGTACCTAACTTTATTTGCAGATAAGTCAAAGGGCTCCATCCCTTGTGAAGGCAACGTCTGGGTCAAGGACATTCCTGCCTTTGGGTACCTACCACCTGTCATGGTTCTGGTTACCAGAGAAGAGGTAAGGACGTGTGTGTGTGTGTGTGTGTGTGTGTGTGTGTGTGTGTGTGATGTGTATACATGTGGATAGATGTGGTGCCTGTGTACATGTACATGGAGGCCAGAAGGTGGCATTGAGTATCCTGCTCTGTCACTGTCTGCCTTAATTTCTTTTGAGACAAGGTCTCTCACTGAACCTGGACCTTGGCCCGCAGCCAGCAAGCACATAGGCTCCTCCTGTCTCCATTCTCCATGGTGTTGGGGTGATAGGCACTCAAACAGCCTCACCCAGTTTACTACATGATGCTGAGATCCAAATTTAAGCTCTTACGCTTGGGCAACAATGCTTTTACACACTGAACCATCTACCCTGCCCCCAGGTTAGGGCTATTACAGGGGAGAAAATGGATACAGAGGAGCAAATTATTAGTCAGTGATGTGTCTGGTGACAGACGGAACCTGGAAAGGAGTGCCACACAGAGGGATGGACACACGTGGGGAAACTTCTGGACTTGGTGAGATGATGAAGCAGATATACAGAGAAGACCTTGAAATGGAGAAGGGTTAGCTGTCTGCAAGGCTCAAGGATACAGTTACTCTTAAAGTTTCTGGGAATGACTTCCTCCTCAGGACAAGGTGGGCAGAAAAGGCAGCTGGTCCTGGAGACTTACAATCACACAGCGTGAGAACAGCCTACAGTTTCTTCTCTCCTTCTAGACCTGCGCTTTTCTTGTGTGTCGTACTGCCCAGCGAAGGACACGCACAGCCTGAAGTACACGCACAGTCGAAAGTCTGTGCGCAGCTGAGGCTCTAGGAAACTACTGCGGGAGAAAAGGCCCAGGGAAATCCTCCAGGAACCGAGAAGCCTTCGCAGGTATCAGGGCTATAGTTATCTAAAAAGAAGTGGCGAGTCTGCATTTATCATGCTTCCTCATCCATTCTGGGGCCCGAGGGACACAGTGAGATCCTGCCTTCCCGTGCTCTGATCCTTTGTGGTGGTGAGAATGGGAGGTAGAAACCCAGCAGACCGTTTAGAGACAGGGACCCAGAAGACAGCAGAATGCCCTCGCTTCTCTGGCCGGGCACAGCAGACGGGAGCTCTGGTTTCTAATCTTCTAAATGAGCAAGAACCCTCGCCTGGAGGCCAGATGCTCGGCAAGGCTGAAGGTGCAGTCTAGACACTAATCTCTGTGTTAATCGGCCCTGGAACTGGATCTCTGGCTTTTTATAGTAGCAATGGATTGTATGTGTTTTTTTAATTTTAGCCCATCTCCTAACTGATTTCGGGGTACATCTTTAAAGTGGGGGAATGTTACAGTACCACTGGAGTCCCATTAAGGGAAAGCTGTTTCTTCTGGCCAAGAGAATGGAATCTACCCAAGGACTGAGTAGAGATGTAACATTCCAAGCTATCCAAAATATAAGCACTGGTCCAGTTGGGCAGGTCCATTAACTGGCTAAGGACAAGCCATCTGGAAGGTGAATTTACACAATGTCATACGAATAGATGGCTACTGCCTCCCTTTCAAGGTTTTTTCTGTATTTGGACTTCATCATCTCACCAAATCCAGAAGTCCCCCATGTGTCTATCTCTCTGTCTGGCACTCCTTTCCAGGTTCCATTATGTCACCAGATATATCACTGACTAGTAATTTGCCCCTGTATATCCATGGGAGGAATAATTATTCCCTAAATGAGATAATAGATGTCCCTTCCTAGAATCCCCGTTCTCTGTACAGTTGTTTTGGAGCCTTCAGTCCTCACTTAGAAAAGCATAATTTTTCCTCCAGTACTTTGAGCTTTTTCACTGATTCTCTGAAGTTACCTTCCCTTTGCCATGTGGCTCCTTTCCAAATCTCCATGCCTAACTCAAAAGGCATAATGTTCTTTCTCATCTCCCTCTCCTTCTTCTGGGCAGCTGCCAAGATTTACAGCTAGCCTGCCTTATGGTTTTTCTTTTACACTGTGAGAAAAATCGTCCTCAAACTTTCTTTGAGGCTTAAATTATTTTATTAAAGAGGCTAAGGACCCTGAAAGGGTTTCCTCAGTAACACATGCACCCCAAGGAGGGTTTCCCAAAATTCTCACTAACAATGAGTGGTTCTCAACATGGGGGTCATCACTCTGTTGGGGGTTGCCTAAGACCATTGGAAAACACAGCTATTCACATTACGATTCACTGACAGTAGCAAAATCACAGTTATGAGGTAGCAACAAAAATAATTTTATGGTTGGGGGTCAGCACAATGTGAGGAACTGTATTAAAGGGTGGCAGCATTAGGAAGTGTGAACCCCTGGGTTAGGGGAGCACCGGCTTTCCTTATTTTGCTCCTGACTCCTTTACCTCTAAGATCCTTTGAGTTAGGAGTTAGGCTTGTTAACCCGGTCTGTCTTAATGGCTGTTTCTTTCTCTTCACGGATCCTACTCTACGTGAACATGCCAGTTCCGCAGAAGACAGTCGCTGCCCCTTTGCCGAAAGCATCTATTGGCCCTAAGAATTGACCAGCCACATTCTTGGACTTTAGAGGAACTGGAGAGGATTTAGTTTACAGTAAGCGGCTGTGCTATCGCTTATTCTGGGAGGGATGCAACAGGGGAAGAGAAAGACTCTTTTGCCCCGCAAAGACACAGTGAAAGGAGCTGACGATGAGTGGATCACCAGCGAAAAGGCAATGCACGTGTGTTAGCTCGCATAGACATGGAGCCAAAGTGTGAGACACCAGGAAAGGGCCGGACAGCTGAAGCCTAAATAAGATCCAGAGCTACAGAGGGGGACAGACGCCTGCCTTCGGGGTTTGTTATCTTCTGTGCGGAGGAAGTAAGTACTTGTTAATTTCTCCAGTGCAGGGCTGCTGCATGGCTCTCTTGCTTGGGCTAAAATCCTGCCAGTTAATTTCATCCATCCGTTACAAATACAAACAGCTCCTTTTATAGGCAGCATGAAAACCCTCTTCTGGATTCAGGTGGCTTAATGTACTTAGCTTTGATAAAGTTTATGACATATTACGTGCGTGTGTGAGTGTATGTGTGTGTTTATGTACGTATGTGTGTGTGCACGTGTGTGTGTGTGTGTATATATGGGTTTATGTGTATGTGTGTGTGTGTGTGTATATATGGGTTTATGTGTATGTGTGTGTGTGTATGTGTGTGTATGTGTGTGTATATGTGTATATATTTGTTGTACGGGTACACAGGAGTGTCATGGTGTACACTTGGAGGTCAGAGGACAACTTTTAGGAATTGGTTCTCTCCTTCTACCACATAGGGTCTGGGGATCATATGCAGGTCATCAGCAAGCCCTTTGCCGAGCTGTCTTTTTTGTCTTGTTATTCTTCTTAAGGACAAATTCGTCAAACAGACCCTTCAGAGAAGAAAATAAACAGTCCTACCTCATAAAACAAAGTGCTTTCCTACGGTAATCTTTTGAACCTAGAAACTTCTTAGAGGGGGATTGCTTTAATAGACTTAAATGTGAATCTTAAAAAAAAAATAAATGTTATTAGAGTGAGATATTACAAAAAAAATAATGAAAGAAAACAGAGAAAAACGACTAAATACAGGAGTCGTGAAGGACACTGATCTTCCAACTGAAATGTGAAATAGGCAAAAGGGTAAACTCCCAACTCCAGAAGTCAGCACGGCAACTCTTTAGTAAACGTCACACTGTCCGCTGATGTGTGGAGTCTCCCAGCCATCACCCCACCCCCACCCCACCCCACCCCAGCCTAGCACCTCTGGGGACACACCAGTGCTGTTGGTCATGGATGGCATGCATGGTTATTAACGAACAACACAAGTGAAAACAAACACTCAGAGACAGCCAACCGCAGAGTCCATTGTAGGTGTTCACAGTGCCCTAGGGAAACTGAGTCCTCGCTACGGCTACAGGAACCCAAGTTAAGACAGTCACAGTCATCATGATAATGGCCTGGAAGGGTTTTCCAGCTTAAAGACAGCCATTTCTGACCTTTTTCTTGAGCAGGGGATGATGCAAAGTGAGAAGCAAGAAACAGTCAACTAGAAGACAGGACACCCGCTTTCAACAAGCAGCAGTTTTATTCCTACGTTGGTGAGGGTGTGTGCAAGATTCCAGATAGGTTCTTTTAACCACCATTACACATCTGAAAATATATTAAGCACATACATTATTTAAATGGAAAGACCAATGAGGTTCTTTGTTCAAACAACACTGGTTACAAATGCAATAGTGTGGGTAGATGCTATAGTATGGAAAAAAATAGATTTATTGCCATTTTAACTAGATTTGCAGAGAACATGTAAATGATTTTGAAACCACGAAAGTGCTCTATTATAGAACATAATAAGTTCAGCTGCTGGATTTATTTACACTAGATATTATGCTTTACACAGATGTAGGAGCGGCTAGCTTCACTTCTGCGGACTTTAGGACTAGCAGACACGATCCAACATCCAAAGCACACAGCCAGGAGCAACTTCCACTCTACACTATGCGGGCAGGGTATGGGCGAGGTGTGAACTCTTCTCTATCCAGTGGAAGTTGAGAAAACAAGCTTGCTTTCTGTTCTTGGAGAATTTCTAAGCCCGAGGAGCCTCACCAACATTGGCCAAGTGCCCTTTAAGTGGGGACATTGATGCCTTCTCCTGTCCATGTAGTTGGGATCAGAAAGACTCTGAATTCTGGTCTAGACCTTCCTGCTAACTGGCAGATGGAGGTTGGTCGGCTCTGCTAGATTTCTGAAGCCACAATCGTAGGTGCTCCTTTCTCGATGCAACGCATATTTACACACATAGCTATTAAAATACGTCTCAGACATAACGGAAAAGCTTGCTGTCGGGGCAAGAATGGTATTTCTTAAAAGAAATTACTTGAGGCAGAAAACAGCCCAAACTAATCCTTCTCGTGACTATTCTAAGAAGGGACACATTACATTTGTCTGACATGATTCACAGCTTTGAAAAGACTTACTTTGGTGTTTTATAAAAAAAAAAAAAAAAAAAAAAAAATCAAGTACATTGGTATATCCATTAAAAACTAATCTTTAGGCCGGGCGGTGGTGGCGCACGCCTTTAATCCCAGCACTCGGGAGGCAGAGCCAGGCGGATCTCTGTGAGTTCGAGGCCAGCCTGGGCTACCAAGCGAGTCCCAGGAAAGGCGCAAAGCTACACAGAGAAACCCTGTCTCCAAAAACCAAAAAAAAAAAAAAAACTAATCTTTGGTAAATCTTTTAATATATCTTTAATTTCCATTACATAAACTTCTACTTTGGGAGCACTCATCAATAATTTCCTTATTTGATGAATGTTATCTATATAAACAATCCTTAAAAAAATATAAAGCATACATTTATTCCAAGGAAGCCTCCGTACAAGTCAAGTGTTCTTTCAGCCAGAAATGTTTTCACTGCTAGACACATTTTTAGAAGAGAACAGATTTTTTTTTTTCTGTTATCATGGCTGCATCCAATGTCACCCTGAATTTCAACTGAAATGGCCACACTCTCAAAGTTACCCTGCACTGTAAGACACGAAGGTGCTGTGTCTGCAGTGACAGATCCTGGAAACTTAGGCACACACCTGGTGCATTCAAAAACCAAATGAATCCATTCAGTTGTTGAATCAGCTAAATCGCAGTGAATCCCAACAAGAGTAACACAGGTCAAAGATCCCTTACCTGAAATGTTTGTGATCAGAATCTGTTTGATTTTAAAAATAACTTTGGACTATTTGAGTAGCTATGATGTGAATACTGAGGATGAATCCCTCAATATGAAATCCATTTCTGTCTCCCTTATACCCTGTACACATTGCTGATGGTAACTTTACACGGTAGTTTTCATGTGCCCGTGTTCTGACTGACACGTCACCCAAGGCCAGCTACAGAGCATCCTACTGTGCTCAAAAAAGCCTTCGACTTTGGGGCATTTTGAGTTCCAGATTTGGGGGTAAAGAATGGTCAATCCATCTGTCTTCATAGAAATAAATACATGACGAGATTTTCAAAGAACCACCCAAGAAGGAAGACATGCCATTCTGTCTTCCTGATGCTCACGTTGCTCACCTCTTCTCCGATGTTCTCCCTTCCTTACATCATTTTACTTCCTCTCTGCAATCATGGTCTAAAGTTTCCTTGGCTGTGAAATCGTCTTTCAACACTGGATGCGTTTCTGAAGCGCGGATGAAAAAAACTTCGGAATGGTAACGGGGCATTGAAGCAGGTGCGCCATTTCTCTGTTGACTCCTCGGGGATGTGAACTTGCTCACCAGGGCTGCTCATGCCTTCTTACCACTCTTGTCTGGTCAGTTATATTCATTTTTTTTTCAATGAAACAGAACTTGGAAAACCTCTGAACTCTTTCTACAACCAAGCAGCTAATTACTTACTACCTATCCATCGTTGCGTGGTCAGGTTTGCTCCGTGCAGCTTGGGTGAACAAAAATTCTAGCGTCTTCCATGGCTGGGACTCTCAGGCAAATATACAGATTTAGTAGCTTCAAGGAGTCAACCTTCCAAAATGCCCATAAACTAACTGAGCAAGAATTTAGTACATGGCAGATCTTTTTTTTTTTTTTTGCAATGGGAGCAGAAAGTGTTTAATATGAAAAGTTATATCCTTAACACCAAGATAAGAGAAACAGTATGAAGTGTAACATGAGAGCCCTATTTTTGTGTTGCTGGACATCTGTTAAACAGTTTCACATTATTTTCTCATATAATTTTGGGCTCTCTTCCAAGAGGTAATAACAAAATTAATTACAGGGCCTCCTAAATATAACTGACCCCAAATTGCTGTATTGTTGCCATTTTAATGTTGAAAAAAATTAAGTCTTGATCACTCGTCTATAATACTGAGCTTATGAAATGTTAGCCATGGGTGAAGGGAGATGAGATGGACAGAAGATAAAGTCACATCCCATTGGCACAGGAGCTATCGAATAGGAAGAAGGGGTAGGCTGTGGAAAAGAGGAACTTGGTCACTAAAGGGTGGGAAGTTCCTCAGGACGAACATTTGCAAGTCCAGAGGGGGAAGATGTGTCAAGAGTGGAAAAGTCGGCAGCTCTCCAGGGGAAAGCTGAATGATAATGTAAAACGGACTTAATGTGAAGAGATTAAAGGAGTTAATTATAAGGAACCTGGGTAAATAATTATTAAGATGCCAAAGAGACTCTCAAGATTTGATAGCCTTGAAGTACTTTGAAGCTTTGCTGATTAAAGAGCAGCGCTCAGGTGCAGACAGGATGCCCGCCAAGACAGGAAGCGGAGTGTTTACCGAGGCATAACCACATGATGCAATTAAGGGGAGATGCATCCGATGGAGCGAATGGCAAAGAAACCTTTTCGTTTCTCTCCTTGCTTATTTTGTGGTACCTGAGATTAAACCCAGGGCCTCCCACAGGCCAGGCAAACACTCTACCAGTAGCTACATTTCCAGTCTGACTGTCTGCTAAATTCAGTGAATGGATCAACTAGATCTGTATTTCATTTTCCTGGGAGAGAGAGAGATTGCATAGCGAAATATTTGTTGCTAAGGGGGTTTAAAACTAGTATAGAGAAGGAGGAATCAGTATTTCCCGAAACAGATGACAATAGGTGAATGAATGTATGGTTTTCCCTGGCTGTGTGGCTGTATTCATTTCCGTAATTCCGATTCTGCCCCCAAATGCTTTGAGGGTGTGCAGGTGTCATTTATGGTTACACATGTACAGATGCTTTGTGGTTATAATTTCTGGTTTGTGCAATTTTAATTGCTTTCTCTTCTGCATCTAGCAGAAACAGCTTCAGCACTTGCTAGCAGCAGAGCACCCTAAGGGAGGTGACCACTGTGCTCTCATAGCCTCGCCTGGGCCCTCTCTTAAGTTCCATTCAAAGGAGTCACAATGCTAATTTCACTGCCATCATGCACTCTTGGTGGACAAAGAAACAGATTTTGCAACAGCACCTAACAGGTTCCAGGCACTTGCTGGGGACTTTTCTCAATGAAAAAAAGCTGAAAATAAACCTCTCTTCTCAGGTTACCCACATACTTTGCACCAAGCAACATCAGTTTACAACTCTTTTTCTGTTTTCCTCTTGCTTGAGGTGTGTGTGTGTGTGTGTGTGTGTGTGTGTGTGTGTGTGTGTGTGTGAACCTCTGGATATGGCCACACAAGCATGCCACCTCACAGCGGCTCCTTCAGCCTAGCTTTTTCTTTTCCTCTAAGAAAAATGATCCCTAACAGACACCACACCAATGCCATGTATGACCTCCATTTTCTCCTTAGTTATACACCTTCAAGCTGACACCTCTTCTTCCTGTCCCAAGCTGGCTCCTGTTTTTCCTGTCCAAAAGGTTTTCTGGATACAGGATCAGAGCCTAACAGTGCCATTTTCTCAAGGGCGCAGAGCACAGTGACACTGAGAGAACCCCTAGTCCTCACTGCTGTTTACAGGGATCCTTAGGAACTGTTCCTCTGTTTCTATCAACTTCAAATCCGGCCTTGATTTGACAATGTCCACTTTCTAACTCACTGGAATTTTTATAGTCAAAGTAAAGCAAGGATCTTAAAGATAATTGGTAGGGTGTGTGTTGCCATTTATATTAATTCAGATAAGTATTTGACATTTTTAACTGCATCAACTTAAAAAGATCTTCTGAAAGATTTTTAGACTAAGCACAGCTGGGTGGTGGTTGTTGTTGTTTTTAAGCATTGTTTACTTTTTCTTTCATTATATGTGATGTAGAGATTGCGATGAACTTGTTGGTATATCACGCTTTCTTCAATCAGGGGCGTGACCTACCACCATCCCTCTCTCCAAAGGAAAACCAAGCCCGAATGTCGCAGGGATGCACCCTGCTTTGTGTGGGAGGTTCCAGTCCGAGGGACACCTGGCATTACTGATTGTCACGAGGTCTCATCTGTTGGTCTCATTCTCTACCAGAGCCCTCAACCCTGCAGTCACCGCAAGTTTCAAGGTCCTGGAGCTGACCATGGCTTGTAACCCTGGGAGGATTCAGATAAAAAGCTTCCAGTTTAGACAAAAACACCTAGCTCAGCTTTGGTGCTGTCTAGTCCTCCAGTTCTTGAATTTACTTTTAATTTCTTGGCATATGCTCTACCACCAAGGTGTAGCCACAGCCCTAATCTTCCTTTGACGGTTACAGCCTTTAGATCCCAGGGTTCATTAGCAAGGCAGCAGCTTGGCAAAGCTAGCCTTATGGTATGCTCTCTCCAGCTCTGTCCTTTGCTTACCCCGTGGATATCAACCTAGGCAAGAAACACAGACCCAGGGATTGTCCTTGCCGCTTTCTCTACACACATTTCACCGGTGGCCCTGTCATACAGGTTGAATCAGTTTATGCAGAACAAGCCATGAACACTTTAGTGTGGAAAAATACTATTATATAAAGCTCAATATTAAACATTATGAAAAATACATATTTACAAGAGAAACTACAAAATACAAGTATATACAATAATATCTGTTACCTTTAAATTACATAAATTCTTTAACATTCTCCAGATTAATAAATTATACATAGTATCAACAGAAATAGCTGGCACCTCCGCAGGGCGTGAAGCAAGGTCTGGTTTTTAAAAGTCACACAGTGAAAAACTTTAATCCAGGGCATCTGCAGGTGCAACCTTAATGTCTCGAGTAGATTGCATCTGGAAGCAAAAATGGCGTGGTTAGAAACTGTAGAGCAGTGGTTCTCAACCTGTGGGTTTCCAACCCCTTCGGTAAACCTCTATTGCCAAAAATATTTACATTACAATTCATAACAGTTGCAAAATTATGGTTATGCAGTAGCAACGGAAAAAAATTTTATGGTTGGGAGTCACCACAACATGAGGTGTATGAAAGGGTAACAGTGTTAAGAAGGTGGAAAACCGGGCTGGAGAGATGGCTCAGCGGTTAAGAGCACTGACTGCTCTTCCAAAGGTCCTGAGTTCAATTCCCAGCAACCACATGGTGGCTCCCAACCATCTATAATGAGATCTGGTGCCCTCTTCTGGCGTGCAGGCATACATGCAGGCAGAACACTATACATAATAAATAAATAAATCTTTAAAAAAAAAAAAAAGAAGGTGGAGAACCGCTCCTGTAGAGGGACTGTCTCTGACAGCGTGCTTATGAAATTTATACCCGGAGGACACTGGTGGATATTAATGCTCCACGTGGTTTAGGATAGAGCCTTACTATGGGGCCAGCCCATGCCATTTAGTAGCCCAGATTCCTGGGCTTGGAAGGGATTCCTGATGCTCCTGTCCTGCCTCTGAGGTACAGAGGGAGCCACAGGCCCAGAGGCAGAGTAACTTGCCCAGGGTTATATGGCTTGCCACACTAGACACTTCCAGAGCTACCTCTGAATCCTAGCCTTTAGGACGGTGGTCATCTATTTCGAACCCACTGATAGCTTCTTTGAGGCACACCTAAGATTAGTTTTTAAAAAGATTCTCAAACAAGTTAACACAAGACAAAGGAACCCCTAAGAGCTTACCCCATCAACCTCCACCATTCTGGAGTTTCTTAAAGACACTGACATGCGAAAACCTTAATTTACTTCACCGATAAATTAGGGGGTTATTATTTAGAACACAAAAGATTATCTGGTTTACAAAGTGCTCCTCTAAATAGCTCTCTGTTTGGTTCTTTACAGCTCACTAAATAACATGCTGGCTGGGTGGGCAGGAATTGAGACTGCAGAGAACCAAGGAAAGTTAGGAGACATTGTCAGCTGAGCTGCACTTAGAAACCGTGAAAGCAGGGCCCAAAGCATGTCTGTTCCTTCCTAGTTCCCCGTTTGCTCTCTAACCGTATTATCTCATCACACACACACACACACACACACACACACACACACACACACACACACGCCATCTGATGTAATATATAATAAGCTGATGGACCCCATCAAAGGCCAAATGCACAAGGTCAGACTACTCACAGACTCCATTTCTTTCTTTTACTTTTTATCTTTGTGCTTATGCCCACTAAGTATGAGCTCCACCACTGAGCTACATACATCCCTACCCCAAGCCTCTTATCTTTATAAAATATCTAGTCCCAAGCATTTTGTTACAGCAACCAAGACAAGCTTCTTTATGAGGGTATCCACACTATGATCCTATCGAAGCCAGGTGTGATGGCATGTGCCTCTAGCTTTGCTAATAATGGTAAGGCTGAGGTAGAAGGGATGCTTGAGTGTAGGACTCCAAGACCATTCCAGGAGCACAGCCTTCCTCTCACACAAAAGAACCAAAGAGCCCACTCCTAATGACTGCACTGTTCTATAAGTGAATGTGCTCTGGTGTAGCTGGTCCCTGTTACGACTTGAATATGACCTCTGTGTCAAGGGTCAAATGCTTGGTCTGCAGGGTGACTGCGTTGGAAGCATGCCGTGGTGAAACCTTCGGAAGACGGTGGGTCCTCAGAAGGAAGCTCTCGTGGGGTTACTTGGTCTTGCCTCTCCTGGCTAATCTCTTTCCCTGGCTCGAGATGTGACCATTTGCCTCAACTGGTGCTCCTGTGAATGGTGTCGCTATCCACCATTCACCTCGGGGTCCTCACCAGAAGACATTGTGAGCTGACACAATGTTACACCCTTGAAGCCCCAAACGTGTGAGCTAAATGAACTTTCTGCTGTCGAGTGTCCAGTGTCTAGTCAGCCACCTCGTGTGATAATTCCAAGCTGACCAGTGTAGTCCTCAATTGCGTTACTGCTCTTCACTCAGTCCTGTAACTGAAAAGGCTTTATGCACAGCGTACATTCTGCATACTTGAGAAGAAAAGTCACGGAGATGAATGCGTGAAAGACACTGAACACCCGATGGCCAAATTCTTCACCGCATCAATTTTGTTATTAATCTCAGCTATGGTTGCAGCCCATTCTTCCCCGGTGGTCAGTCTTATCTCTTAGAAAAAAAATGTTAAAGGGAATCTTTTGCAGAGAGTACGCTGTGGGCAGGGAGAGGGTGGAGAGTCTGGGGCTGTAGCTTACTGTTAGAGCATTTACCTGCCAGTGGGAGCCCTGGGTATCACACCAGCACTAAAAAACTTGTTAGGATACTAAGCTTCTGCTCAACTGTGGGACCCGTCCCCCTTCTGCTTCTCCCCTTGGTTGCCACCTTTGGGGGAGGGGTTGGTAGAAGAAGAAATGGGAGGTTCAAGTTGGAGGGACATCGAGGCAGTACTAGTTCCCAGACTGAGTGCGTTTTGGGAATCGAACTTGAGGACAGGCGAAATGAAAGCCGGTGAGACCTGCTTTTACCTCTGTGATACTCTGGATTCACGTTTTCGTAGATAGGAAACAGGGGGTTTTCTTGTTCATTCCGCAGTTTCCTAGCTCTGAGGACGTCTCTCACGCACTGATGCAGATAGATGTACTGACACTGGGGAAAATCAGAGAACATGTCAGAGGAAGGCGGCACCCTCCTGCAGAAGAAAGGTAAGGGGCTGTCGCAAAACACCCACAGCTGCTGGGATTTCATAAATTATAGACTCTCTTTTCCTGCTCCTTTTTCTTTTGTTGAGGTCGGGTCTCCTTCTGCACCGGAGCTGACTGGGACTTCACCATGGAGTTTGGCTTTTTATCCAAATTCAGGTCCTTTTGCTGGAACAACAAGCACTTCACTGAACCATCCACTCTTTTTAAAAGATGCATATCTCTACAATGTGTGCCTTGAGTGCCTAGAACTATGTCCTTCACAAAGGAGGCACAGGAGTGAACGCAAACACCTTGCTATGTCCTTTGCATATGCTGTCTTCAGAACTCAACACCCTTGTGGAGCAGATGCAACTATGAAGCAACCTGAGACTCAGAGGAGTTCATTAGCTTTGCCAAATTTGCATGGCCCAGAAATGAGGCCCTTGGATTTGATTCGAGAGGTATGACCTCAAAGTTCATGTTTTCAGTTCATTATTTTTTTCCCCTTACGAGGAAATCATTTCACTGCATACTCTCCTCTTGTGTCCCCCACCTTTTGCAGGTATGGTGGGGAAAGGAGGTGTGTCCAATTAACCCACTGGTTGCCACTGCTTTAAACACAGGCTCAGCGTCTAGTCCGTCTCTGTCCTCTTAGCATCTGAGTCTGAATCACAGAGGGACCTCAAAGACGGTGGTGGATTGCAGGGATCCACTGAAGGTTACTTAAAGAGGGCATGGCCATAGGTCAGCCACTTGGGAATTAACTACTTTAGAAAATAAATACAGAAGGGTAAGTGCTCTGGTGACCATAAAGACATCACAAAGATTCCACTGACAACAGTGTCTTAACCACAGGCAACCAAACTTCCTAACTGGGTTCCCCTCTTTTCTACCAAGTGAACTCCTTAAGGAGGACTGGAGGCCTGTGTGTCTGTAGTGTCTGTGCGTTTATAATGCCTGGCCTTGTGCTTCTTATCCTGATACAGCCATTGCTGGAACCCAAGGAACGGGAAGGTTGGAAGGAGCGGACAACCCCACTCAAGGGGGACTGGTGAAGTTTCTCAGAATCTATTTCCCTCTCAGAACAACAAGGAGCCCAGAGTCTCCTCTGCAGACATTGTGCTCTATCCATTCAGGGTATTAGACTCGGCGTGGGTATCAGGTAGGTGGATATGGAAAGTTATTTCTGGACTGTGTATTTAAAGCAACCAATGCCATTGAGCATATAGGGTTTTAAAGGTTTTTGAAATACAATGTGGAAATAAAAGATCTCCCCTCTCTAATACGTTTTCAAAGTGAACAGTTTTTGTTTTTATGGGTGGCACTAAGGCATCGGTCCTGGCTGCGAACTAGCTTGGTATTCTACCTATGGGGCTTTGGAAGTTAGTTCTAGGCTAGCGACTAGATTCAGACTTGTATGTTTCAGTTTTCTAAGGAGTCTCGTACTTCAGCCTGGCCTTGAACTTGCTATGCAGCCAGAGCTAACCTTGAACTTCCAATCTTCCTGTCTTAGCTCCCAAGTGCTGGGAACACAAGCCAGGCTCATTGTGCCAAGTTTTTACCTCAAGCTGAGGTAAAACTCAGGGCTTTATGCATGCTGGGCAAGCATTCTACCAACTGGGCTGCATCCTCTGCCCTCCCCTGTGTTTGGTCTTTTATGGTGCTGGGAATTGAACTCAGGGCCGTACACATACGAGGTAAGAGCTCTACCACTGAGCTGTAGTACCCGCTAGACAAGGACATTACAAAATCCAACCACGAGCAAGGCTTGCTCCAGTATTAAGAACTATCTATACTTGGGTATTCTTCTTGCAGATCTTACTTGGTTTTATGCCAACTTGCCCTTTCGAAAATTGACTGATTATTTTTATGTGTGTGCATGCCTGCTTGAGTTTATGTGAACCACGTATGTGTAGGAGCCTTTGGGGCCAGAAGATTGGGTTAGTTCCCTAGAACTGGAGTTACAGAGTGTTAACACTCATGTGGGTGCTGGGAATCAAATCCAGGTCTTCTGAAAGAGTAGTAGGCACACCTAGCTGCTGGGCCATCTCTCCAGCACCATATAACTCCTATTTTTAGTTAAATTATTTGTGGATGGAAGAGGTAAGCCGTGAATGAACTCTTTTATACCTAGGCCATGGCTTAGTAATAAATTTTTCAACAGTGTGATCCACCACGGGCTTTGAAACTAATTACTCTCTATTAATTTGCCTTGTCTTAAATATCAACTTTTCTTTTCCCAATAGGATGTCCCTTCAAAAACTGATTACTTCTAAAATCATCAAGTTGTTACTGTTACCTCCACTTAATTCTTAATGAAAAATAGAAAAACAACTAATATAAGCCTTCTAGTCACACAAGATTTTTTTTCTAATTAGGGAAGCCCTGGCTGAGGATTGACATCATCTATTTCATTCAATTCCACCAATCTTTGTAGTATTATGTAGGATTTATGATATTACATGTATAGCCACTCAGTTCATGATTCCTGAGAGCAATGTTTAGCAAAAGGTCAGACATGCATCAAATACCTAGAAGACAACAAACAAGAGTTGTTTATAAAGGTTCATGAAGGACAAGAAGCTCTTGAGATTATTTAGAGGAAGAAAATATCCAACAGGAAAGAAAAAGTGACCTTGAAAGAATCTGAATAAAGTGGGCATTCCACATGATAAAGATAACATGAAAGCCAGTGGGGCGTCCAGTGTGGCTAAAATACAGGTTGCCTGGGCCATAGGAGACCCTCCGGATAGTCTCTTAAATGGGACCCGAGACACTTGATCCCACAATGCCCCAGTGTTCCTTCTCATGAGGGCAGTCAGAGTGTCCGACTATTCTCCCTCAACAATGTCTTGCTGCATCAAAGTGTCTCTCTAATTTATGCTGCCAATCTGCCCCAAGGCAGAGGGGTAAACAGAGGAGAAGACATTTGCAAGTCCCCCCATTGCCTTTTGGTTTAGAAAGCCTCCCTGTTTGATATATTCACCAAATATGAGATGATGACCTGTGTCCCTTTGTATCCCAAATCTCAAGGTACAAGAAAGTTAGGATCACCTGTCAGACAAACTAAGCAAGGGCTCAGAAATTCCTTTCTCCTTTTCTGAAGGCATCACCCATAGCATTGGATGGTGAGTTATACCATTCTGCACCCATGCCCACTCACATAGCCAAGCAAGCCAGGCAGGCCTTTGGTTTTTATCTGACCTGGAGCAAAGAAACAGTCCCTTGGCCTGGGCCAATGCATCGACTCTGTGGAACCAGCTAATGTAAAGCTGTATAAGCAGGAGGACTTGAACTTGGAACTCCAGCACTCGAATAAAAAGCCAAGTGTGGTGGTGCAGGTCCGTAGTCCCAGCACTGGGGAGGTGGAGACCCTGGGGTTTACTGGCTAGTCATCTAGATGAATCAGTGAGTGATCAGTGAGAAAGACCTTGTCTCAAAAAATAAGGGGACAGCAACCGAGAAAGACATCCAATGTTCTCTTCTGGCTTCCATATGTATACACCCGCCCCCAACACACATGCATATGCACACGGAAAGGAGCATGTACACACACACACACACATACACACACACACACACACACACACACACACACACACACACACACACACACACACACTCAAGATTACTTACAATGTTAGATACTTCTTTTCCAACTTACAGATTAATTATAGTCTGAGTTTGTGGAAATGATGCTGAAATGAAACACTGGTGCTCACTTCTTAGCACCATAATAGTAGGGTGTTTGCTCCTTTGTATAATAGATTTTAAAAATGGATACAGAGACAGTAAAGTTTCTGTTTCCAAGACCTTGTGCTCCTGGGGTGGGGAAGGATGACAGTTAAGATATGCGACACAATCCTATCCCCTAAATGAAATGACAGGCAGACAGCCATCATCGTGAAGCGCGTGATTACTGGGAACCCTGGTGACGAGTGGTTGGGGTCCTGCCGGTGAAGCCACCGTTAATTCCGTCTGAATTCACCAAGCAGTAGGGATGTGGTGGCCTGCTGGCCCTCTGCTGTGACACAGTAGGAGGTGACCAGCACCAGCCTGGGGGCACTGTGACTGTAGGACCACAACCTAACAAGCCTCTGGGTATAACGGCCACCTGACCACAAGGACTAGAGGGACCTACTACCACCATGGAAACCTACGGAACAGAGGAGCTGGGTTCTCTGTCAAGTGAACGGCTTAGAAAACAAGCAGGAAGGATTCTTATAGACATAACATAGGTATAAAGATACTTCAAATAAATGAAAGAAGTCGACGTGGGGCTTTAAGGAAAGCTAGATAATTTTTTACAAAAAGTAATGTTTTTAAAAGATAGGTAGGAGCCGGATGTGATGGTATACACCTTTAATCCCAGCACTCGGGAGGTAGAGGTGGGCGGATCTCTGAGTTCGAGGCCAGACTGGTCTACCTAAAGAGTTCCAGGACAGCCAGGGCTACACAGAGAAACCCGGTGTTAAAGAAATAAAATAAATGAATGAATTAATTAAAAAGATGAGTGGGGATATTTAAATACTGACTAGAAATTACAATTAAAATTAAGTGTGATAAACGATGTGGTGATCATGATGCTGAAGAGTATCTATTCACACACACACACACAGACGTACACACACACATCTATCTATCTATCTATCTATCTAGAGAGAGGCAGGCAGGCAGAGACAAGAGAGACAGATATATAGAAAGGCATAGACACAAAGACATATTATATATATAATGATTTATTTGTGGATGCAATAATGTAATGGATTTGCTTTATAAAGTGGGAGAATTGGTGTGGGATACAGATGAGGAAATAACATGATGTTGCTGCTTGTGGAAGCTGGAGTTTGAATTAATTCAGATTATTTATCTGATTTCCCCTAGTTACACCCCTGCCTCCACCCCATGGTACTGGTGAACAAACCTAGGGCCCTGTGCATATTAGGAAAGCACTCTGCCATCAAACTACACCTAGCCTAAGTTCTGTATGCCCTTAACCAACTTCATAATGAAACATTGAGGATGTGGTAGATCAATTGCTATAATGAAAGTACCAGCCAGTCATGGTGGCACATGTCTGTAACTATTGCTCTGGGGATTAAGACTGCAAGTTTAAGGCTAACCTGGGATGTATGGTGAGGTCCTATGTCAACAAAACAGAACTGGAACTGGGAGATGGCTCCATGGTTAAGAACACTTTATGCTCTTGAGGAGGATCAGAGTTTGGTTTCCAGAACCCACTGGTGGGTGGTACACAACCAGCTCCAGGAAATTCACTGTCGTTTTCTGGTCTCTTCAGGTACACTCATGTACTTGCACCCCCCCTCCCCCGTCTCTCTCTGTGAGAAAGAGAGACAGAGACAGAGAGACAGAAGGAAGGAAGGAAAGAAGGAAGGAAGGAAGGAAAAATACACACACACACACACACACACACACACACACACACACACTTGGATAGGGGTAATACAATGTTGGTAGCAGATCTGGTGAGGAGGAGCTGTCTGCAGGAGAGGCAAGAACACCAAAGAGGCTTTTTGCCAAATCTGGCACAGAAGGTGAGTCCCATGGGATATTAATATATGCTGCACCAGAAATTATTTAGGGCCAGCGTGAGTTTAGAATTGTGGGTTCAGCAGAGCTCAAAGGGAACCTTGCTGGAGGATGCTGGTTGTGGAGCACAGCTGCCTGTGTGGTTTCCATGGCTACTGTGATTGTACGTAGAACTTTTCATCCATGCAAAGCCTTTTTTGGGGGATGGGTGGGTAGGTGCGATAGGTTAGGTGTGGGGAAGGGCACTGGTATCCTTCAGCTGAGAAATCTTACCTCAGTCTGAACCATGTGAACCCTGTGAAGTCTTAGGTCATGCACTGCTCCATAAATGTCCACAGAATCCTTGGAGTCCAACTGCTGGAGGATCCGGTCCAAGGCAACGAATGTCCCGGTTCTGCCCACACCAGCACTGGAGAGAGGCAAAAGGAAGATGGGGCCTCTGATTTAATTTTCCTTCCATGACCACATCAGGAGACTCTAGCCATCTTTCTCCTGTCTCTCAAATTGTGGGAGAATACAGGAATCTTTCTTTACTCTCAAAGAAAGACAACCTAGAGCCTTTATGGTCTACTTAGAGGCCCCATGGTCTACCTACAGCCCTCATGGTCTTCCTAGAGCCCCATGGTCTTCCTAGAGCCCCCATGGTCTACCTAGAGCTCCCATAGTCTACCTAGAGCCCCCATGGTCTACCTAGAGCTCCCATAGTCTACCTAGAGCCCCTATGGTCTACCTAGAGCTCCTATAGTCTACCTAGAGCCCCTGTGGTTTACCTCTTCCCACTTCTTCCTAACCCTCACCCTGTTGATGTAAGCACCACTCTGACCTTGGTATATATCAAACTCATGCCTATTTTTATAATTTCCCATACCTGCTAATTCAAAAGGAACATTTTATACATTTTGAAAATTTACTAAAATGCTAAGATACCACATATCCTTTTGCCAAGTTCTCTACTCAATACTGTGAGTAATGTTTTGAGATTTATCCATTTGTGACACAGAACTAATTTCATCTCTCTCTCTCTCTCTCTCTCTCTCTCTCTCTCTCTCTCTCTCTCTCTCTCTATCTCATTTGCCCTTTCTTTCTTTTTTTCTCATTGTTTGCTTGATTTTTTTGAGAAAAAGTCTTGCTATATACTCATGGTTTCCATGCCTTAGTCTTCCAAGTGTTGGGCTCACAGACACATGCAACTATGCTTGGCTCAATTCCAACTTTTAACTATTTTGAAGAAGCCACAAACCACTACCAGTCCACTCCATACTGAAGGGTATGAGATCATTTTTAATTTTCTATTAAAAGCCATATTGCAGTGAACATCATCGTGCATCCATGTGGCAGTTGCTCAGCAGTTGGTAGGTAGAAGGGGCAGTGCTGGGTTGGTTATAGGGTATGAACACTTTTGCTAGATGTTGCTAAATTGCTTCTTAAAACAGGATTCTTGATACTGTGCAGATTGATGATACCAAGACGAATTTGGCCTCATTCAACCCAGACAAAATCAGAGCCAAGAATATTGAGAAAGGAGAATTCATGCCTGTTTGCCCACTTGCAATAAATACTATAAGAACTTTCTAGAGCCCACAAGAAATTTCTTCTCATTCTCCATTTACACCATGCTTTGTATACGCTACACACATGCCAAGGTTTCTGTACCAAAGTTATCTTTAGTGTTAAAGCTATAGCAATCCACGTAAAATGCTTTCCACATGACACTTGCCAAGCAAGGGCCAGCAATGGTACCTCTACCAGTAAGCGAACACCAACTCCTCCCTCGGGATATTAAGACCAGTGAGACTTGTGACAGAGTAGTGTATGTAAATTTTCTCACTTTTGTCTTAAAAAACTCAACTTTGAACATATCTATGATTGACTATGGCACCCATTCCCACTGCACGGCTCTACTATTCCTAAATAAGTATCAATATTCTTGGTAGACACCCCCTCTGGTTATTTTGGCTGGCAATGAACACATTTATAAGATACAAAGCAATTTTCCAATGTTTCTGAAAGAAAATGCCTGCCATTCTTCAGAAAGCAGGAGACCCCTGAGTGTTTCATATTCCCATTAAAGCACTGAGGTCCAAAGACATATAAAAGCAGGGCTCCTGGGGTGTGGGGCTGCTGGGGAGAAATGAACACGTTTGACATTTATTTTACTGTAGCAATTCTCTGCTCTTTATTTATCAGTGCCACTCAGGTAGGGCTATTCAAGTGTGCTGCAACATTAATTAGCTAAACACCAGGATGCCCAGAGAGAGAGAGAGAGAGATGGCTTGTTAAGCTGATTTTATGGACAGATGAACTGAAGCAAAGAAAAGTCAAGAGAAAAAAAGAAATTTAAGGGCAAAAATTGACTATAGACAGCTGGAGTGAGTTTGTGAGGTCCCTTTTCCTGTCCCTTGCCTTCCTGCCTTCATATGAGGACAGCTTTCTCTTCTCTGGAGGGGCACACGGCTTCAGAGACAAGGTCCCTATAAGACACCAATCTGTCTGTGGCTTGATCTTGAAGCTTCCAGAATTGTGAAAGATAAATTTCTGTTGTTTATAAATCACCCAGTGAAGGGCCCCAAGCATGGCAAACATAGGTCCTAGCTTGGCAAACATGGTACCCACAGGTTTTGCCTTTGATCTTCTGCCTCCTTGCTAAAGTGTTAGATTGCATTCCTGAAGCTAGCCACCAAGGCCTAGCCCCTTGTTTGGCTGCTGACTCACTCCTGAGGCTGATCACCAAGGTCCAATATCACAACTCCAAGGTCCAGGAATCAAAACTCATTATTTTGACTATCCCAATTAAAATACCCAGTCAGAACTTACCAATACGTCTTAGCTCATGCTAACACAGACCTGCCCCTTTTCCCTCTTAACATTAACACTTGCAAAGCTATTTCCTGCTGTTTCTATCCAATTTAGATTCAGCCATCTTGTCTCTCTGCCTTGTTTCATGAAGGATCTCTTTTTGTAGGAAATCGGTGTTTGGGTGTGGTCTGTGCCTTATCCAGAGGGGAGCACCCCACGGTACTGAGTCCCTTCACCCACTCTGCAGTATTTTATGATAGTGTCTCCAGTGGACAAGAACATGCTACTAGACCTAGAGGGAAGTCTAGGTCAGTAAGCTCCTTAGGTGGAAAAGGCTTCTTCAGGTGGGGGAGAGAGAAAGCTATCTCAAGGAGTTAAAAATAACAGGAAAACACAGAGAAACCCTGACTTCAAAACAAAACAAAACAAAATAGCAGGAAGCAAGAATAAGTCTGTGCACCAGACTCAGAAAGAAAAAATGACATGTTTTCTCTTTCATTCAAGACCCAGATGAAAATTCACATGACGTGGTTTGAGTGGTTAATATTCCCCACAGTTTCGGGCATTTGAACCCTTGGTCCCCAGTTGGTGGTACCCGTTGGGTAGGGTTAGAGTGTGTGGTCTTACTGGAGGAAGTACGCCACTGTGGGTAGGCTTTGAGTATTTATAGTCATGCCCCTCTTCCTGTTCGCTCTCTGCTTCTTGCTTATAGTTCAACATGTAAGCTCTCAGCTCACAGCTAGCTCCAACTGCCATGCTGCTGCTGGCTGCCATACTGTTCCTGCCATAATGGACTCGCAACCTCTGCAACCATAAGCCCAAAGAAACTCTTTCTCCCATAAGGTGCTTTGTTCAGGTGTTTTATCTCAGCAACAAAAAAGTAACTCATGTATTGTGTGTGTGTGTGTGTGTGTGTGTGTGTGTGTGTGTGTGTGTACGCGTGCAATGTAGCTAGAAAAGGGGGCCGTGAGAGGGGAGATAGTGCTCTTAAGGAGGAAGAAGGTAATGGAATACACGTGATGTGAAAGCAGAGGGGGTAAGGCGGGAACCCATCAGAGGAAGGCAGAATGTAGGAGGGAGGGAGGGCCTTGGGAGAGGAAAACATACAAAAAGGACATACAGGTATGGAAATGTGATAAGGAAACCTATTGGTTTGTATAATAATCTGCAAAGTTAATTTTAAAAATTAGGAGCAAGCAAAACAAAAGAATCAACTTGTATTGTCAACTTCCTGGCTAGAACGGGAAAGGAAGTGATGAGACTTTGGACTGAAGGTGAGATGGGGTCCAGGATGGAGGGTGTGGAAGTCACTTAAGGATTCTCTATTTCATGCAGCAGGAAAGAGAATAAGAAGAGAGCGAGGGGGAGAACGAAGTGGGAGGTGAAGAAACTGGAAACTGTGAAGAAGAAAGAGGTTAGGAGAGGGAGAAGAGCACATGATGTACTCTTCTGGGGTGAGGCAGCCTGGCTGGCTTGGGGAGACCTCCTGGACCGTGCACCTTTGCTTTGCTGTGGACTCTTCCTGACGCTGCCTCCACCTTGATGACCTCTCAGGTTGCTCATACCTGCAGTGTACTACGGTGGGCCCGGCCCCCGGGCTTCTGTTGATGTAATCCCTGACCGTTCTCACAAACTGGATCAGGGACTGGGTGGTCTCTGGGACCCCATGGTCTGGCCACACCGTGTAGTGAAAGTGACGGATGAGTCTGTGTGCATCCAGCTGTTCTTCCTGCAGGGGTGGAGAGCAGGTGGTGAGAGGGACGTCTGAGGAAAAAACTCAAGGACTCTGACAACTGTGTCACACACAGGTTTTCATGGTCTGAAACTACAGGCTATGAACCAGGGAAAGCAGGATTCACAGAGTCTCCTCTATGTAAGTTGGGTTGTTTCTTTTATTCCCTCTCTGCCTCCCTCCTTCCCTCTTTCCCTCTTCCCCGCCAGCCCATTCTTTTCCTGAGATAGGATCTCTTGTAGCCCAGGCTTGCCCAAGCTCTTTATGTATTTGAGGATGACCTTGAACTTCGTCTTGCCTCTACCTCCCAAATGCTGGGATTCCAAATAGATAACCATAGTACCTGGCTTCTAAGTTGGGTTTTAAAATGAAGTCAAGGAAACTAACATACACTGCATATCTTAAATTCTCGGATGGTCCACTCGGGTAGCACGGACTCTGAGACCATCTGCAGGATGAGATCCCCATAGTAGAGGGAGTCCTGGTCTGCAGGCCAATAATGGTCACACTTCACCTAGAGGAGAACAGACAGGAAAAAAATTAAGTCTGGAAACATGACAGTGAGGTCATCTGGAGTCCCCCTCCTTCAAATCCCTTCCTGAGTTGGGGATCCAGAATCAGCTGCTAAAGCAACTTGATCAATTACTTTCTATTAATCTGTTCATGGCCAGTGACAAAGCTGGGTTGCTGTTCCAAGGGACAGCAAGAGATTGTCCCCCAAAGCAAGTCCCAATCCCCACCTTTAGATTCATTCACCTTTGGGTTTTATGTTTTTTTTTTCTGAATGATTTCCTCAGTGTCCTGGTCCCACTGACTGATAAACAATGACTTAAAGATCTCTTGTTCTTGGGTTGGGGCCATAGCTCACTGGCAGAGAGGTCTTGTGTAGCAGGCACAAGGCCTAGGATTCTATCCCCAAGAACTTCAAAGAGAAGGGAAAAGTGTTCTCTCTGAAGAAAGACCTACCCAAGCAGAGGATGGCATTGTCTTCCTGGCCCTGTTTGGTCATATATATATATACACACACACACACACACACACACATATATATATATATATATATATATATGTGTGTGTGTGTGTGTGTGTATATATATATGTATGTATATGTATATGTATATATATGTATATATATATGTGTATATATATGTATATATATATTTATATATATATTATCATTTTCCTTACCTGGGCCATGTGCCCAAGAGATCTTTGAGAACTTAAAACTTTCAGCTAAACTTGTATTTATATGCACAAGTAGATGAGAAAGGAGATTCTGAGTATTTGTTTTTATATTATGTTTTGTGGAACATACTAATTAAAATTGATATATTTTTTAAGATGCACATTCATTGACTATAAATGTATATCTATCTGTATTTCTGTGTGTAGACTTGTGTATCAAATACGGTGAACATCGCTTTTATTTTAGTGTGTATGGTGAGGCAGGCAGATAGAACTACATATGTGTATTGAATTTCTGTTTACATGGATATGGACATATTCTAGCCACTTCATCAATATTTGTAGTTACATGTATCATAAATATTATCTAATAAGGGTAGTCTTGCAGAGAAAGACAAGGGTCCTATGTCAGGATGATGGAAGATAGTCTGGATATCCAACATACACATATTAAGCTCTTTATATTTAGTCTCTCTTTTAATCCTAAAACTAGCCAGATAATATAGAAGATTATAAACGGGGATTATAAATATAAGAGGTTTTAATAGATAGCTATTAATAGATAGATCGGTTTTTCAGATAGATATTTTACTTTGTGTCTGCCATACAGCCTAAAATACTTCTCTCCTGAGAGCCCCCTCGACCCTGGTAGGGTCTCTCTCTCCCCTACCCATACTCTGAAGGACAGAGCATACATGGGGTCAGGCATGCTTCCCACCCATGTTTACTTCCGACTATCCCAGGCTTCACATGCAAACAGCTTGGAACGAAATGTCTGACCATGAATTTAAAAAAGGATCCAGATTGTTTTATAATCAAGTGGCTTAATTCCCTAACAGCTTTCTCCCAGGGTCTCTTCTCGGTTCTGTGGGTGTGACTTTGGATGGGGCGGGAGGATAGGATTCCATCAAAACAACAGCGGAAACCAAAGCCAGGGAGGCAGGAAGACTGGTTACTCACTCGGCCTTTCTCAACACACTGGGTCACCATGACGATGTTGTGAACGTTTTGTTCCCACGCCATTTTCCAGAAGTCATCCTTGGTGCCAGGAAGCGGTCCCTGCGTGGCGATATATTCTCTTCTGAAGTTGTTACCCTGTGATGAGTTTACAATACGGAGAGTCAGAAACAATGGCCTCTTCAGAACTGTAAACAAAGAGTAAGCTCGCGGATTAGAAGGTATAGAGAGGTCTCTGCCAGGCCCCTGGAGCAGAGAGTTAAGATATGAACGCAAGTGTCAAGGCTGGGGAGGAGGAAGGACAAACGCGAGGACATGGGGCCATTGTTTAAAGTCACATCCTCTTTATCAGCTGGGTCTAGTGTAAAGGCAAATGGAGGAGGATTCTGTGTGTCTATGTGTGCCCATGTGTGTGTGTGCTTTTGTGTATGTGTCTGTGTGTGTATGTCTATATGTACCTGTGTTTGTGTGTGCCTTTATGTGTGTTTGTGTATCTATGCGTGCCCATGTGTGTGTCTGTGTCTGTGTGTGCCTTTGTGTATGTGTCTGCGTGTGCTTTTATGTGTGTTTGTGTGTACCTGTGTGTGGCTGTGTGTCTTTGTGTGTGTATTTAGTGCTTGTGTGTGTGTGTGTGTGTGTGTGTGTGTGTGTGTGTGTGTAAACTGAAAAGGACTGACTTTAGTCTTTTTGGATAATTGACATCACAATAATTCAGAAAGAGATATCATGCAAAGGAAGCTTAATGGAAAACGAGCCACTGATGCCCTGAGCCACTACCAGATAGTGTGCAGCGGGTCTGGACGTTCACAGATCTGACTTAATCCTAACCATGGTGACCTGGATATTTCCACTAATTCTTTCTTCACTTCAGCACTACAGAATTAATTTTAAGTCTTAGTGGAGGCTCATTTCTCATTGCCTTTGCTCAAGATCTCTATATTACATCGGCTCTGCCATCCACAACCCAGCCACCCACACACTACTTCTCAGCTGGCTAATCTTTATTTATCCTTAGCACCTTGTCTGTCTGACTGAAGTCATCTCTCATCTTTCTCTCTATCGGGTGTGACATTCTCCTTCTTCACATTCTGTGGTAGCCTCTAGTCTCTTGCTACTCATTGTGGTCCTCAGGCTGGCAGGGAATGGGATCACACAGGGGCTTGTTAGAAATGTGAAATACCAGGCTCTCCCTATCTCTGCTAGGTAGAACGGATGATGTTGAAGTGTGAGTGACACTGAGGTTCGTTCACATAGGAGACGCTGCTCTGGTGTGGTAAATATGACACGGCCCTGCGACTCTTCAAGGTCTTGACTCTTCAGCAGTTCTCTTAGAGACACAATCCCTTTATATAGCTCAGTGTTTAGATTATAGTTATCACTTAATTGGTTAGCATGTATTGACTGTATAGACGATAGTTTGAAGTATTTTCCTGATGGTTTAGAGAAGGAAGTAGGGGCTCAGTGAGGTAGCAGAACTCATTGCTGTGTCATGAAGCCAGCCAGGGACAAAAGTGGAATTCAGATCTGGGATTTTTTTTTTTTGACCTTTAAAGATTCTTTCCCTGTGCTGTATGTGGGAGGTTGGCAAGATGCAAGCCAGTATCAGATCCCAGAAGTTAACACAACTTTCAAGTGTGTGTGTGTGGTTTCCAAAAGTCCAAGTAACAAGAGGTTGGCCCTTTTGGCACGGCAGCCTTAGCCATGGGGGGCATCTCCCTTAAGCAGCTCTAACCTGACCTATCTCAGGGTCCCAGAAAGAAAACAGTCTTTGAACACTAGTCCTGGGGTCGTGTGAATTGCACCTGACCATGGCCATTGTGAAAAACAGGGCTCAGCCGTGATGGAAGCCAACAGCCTGTATTTTATGGCAACCAGACACGGTCTTTTAAATCTTGCAAGTGTTTCTAGACAGAGCCGTGGGGCAGTTCGGAAGGTGTGGCATATCCCGCATGACTACCATTAAAGCTTCATCCTGGGCACCGTAACCTGGGCGTTCACTTACGGGGATGTAACTGGCATTGATGTAGTCAGAGCATGGGTCATCGTCTACGTTGGACAGCTTCACTCTTGAGGTATCATCTGGAAGGAGATACATTGGAAGATTTGCTGCAGTGTCTACACGGAACGGTATTCCTATGTAGGCAATGTGGTATTAGATTGCCTTACCTTTGATCCCAGCAGCCTCAAGAATAGTGTTCTATCTCTGTTTAATAGTTAGGACTCTGACAGGGTAACTAACTTGGGCATGTGATATAAGTGCCACATAAACAATGGATGCAGGAGACAATGGGAAGTCCCATCTATGGTTTCCTTTGCAACATTCCAACACTTGCTCAATGCAGGGGCCCCCTCTCTTTCACTTCTGGATTGAATACTAGCCAGAAAAACCACCTTCAATTGCTTTACCTAACAGGGCAGGCGGTTTTTCTGAAAAATTGCAGACTAGAGACTGTGAAGTAAACCCAAGTGAGTCAGTCAGAGCCCCGCTCTTAACTTTGGTCATGTTCTGAGCCTCCCAGGAGAAACAGTAAGAACAGCAAAGTGAAATGCCAACTGGTCCTCTCAGAACCAGAATTTAAATGGCCGTTAACCCTTGTGAGAGAAGGGCAGGAGCATTTGAAACATTCCTTATTAAAATCATTTGGAGCCCAAGAGCATACCTATCCAGCTATTCTATACACACACACACACACACACACACACACACACACACACACACACACACACACGTGGATTTTATGTGATAGCCCCACAAGTTCCAACACAAAACTTACAGGGCAATATGTTGTTGTATCGATTTTTCCCTCTGTTCTCAGGCAAGAGAGCAATGTCACATGGCTGGTTTCGACCCACGTCTTTTAAGTCCTGTTAGGTTAAAAAAAAAAAAAAGTTTGCAACTGGAGAATATAAAATAAAAGAAGGCAGCTCAGACAGCCCTTGAGAGACATAATAACATAAAGACACGCACATGAGCTACAGTTCACGGAACACCTGGCGTTCCAGAGGCATGGGCTCGGATCCTTTCCACAGTCCCACATGGGAGGTGCCCCTAATACCATCCTACAGAGGAGGCTTAAAGGTGATAAATACCGCGCTCCAGCATACACACAAGGCAAAACTGAGAATCGTGTTCAAAGCCTGGGGACTCTTTTTCCAAACTACGTTGTTTCCCAGACAGGCAAATGTCCAGGCTGAGTAACTGACAGCATTGTATTGAAACTTGTTCATTCTTTCCCAATGAGCCAGAAAGTCCTTGCTTTGCTGTGTGCTTCGAGCTCAAACTGCCCTCTGAGAATAGGTGGAACGCTGTTCAGGGAGCCGCCTCAGACACAAGGAGTGCTCTGCTGAGACCATCGGCACCCTAACCACGACTTCACAGTAACACTCAAGAGGGAATTCTACAGACCAAGTGCAAAGGCTTCCCTGGGCCCACGTGGTACCTCATATTCCTTGGATAGAAGGTAGTTGGAGTCCGCCTGCAGCTTCATGAAATGCCCTTCAAACTGATTTATCTTTATGGGGCTGTAATTAGAAACAAAAGGAAAGGAAAAGAAAGTTACTGAAGAAACAGGGAACGTGCTATCACCAGCCTGAGTTGTGTTTCAAAAGCAGATTCATTAATACATTTTCTCTTACCAAGAAGTTTTCCGGTTGCTGTGAGACAGACAAAAAAGAAAGAGGGGCCTTGTTAGCAAATCTCGCAGAATACCATCTTTCAGTAAACCGAGCAAAGGAGACTTTGGCACTTACCCTTTCTGGCCCAGATTCAAATGGACAGACAAAGGCCGATCCCTGTGAATGCTCAGGCGGGCAGATGGCCTTTCCCGGCCATGGCTACAACATAGGACACAGATTTCTTTATTCTAATTATGTTACTTGGCTTGTACAAGGCGCTCCCCTTTCCTGTTTATGGTAAGGCTGTGCACACTTGTGCAAATGTGGAATTTTCAGATTCCATGGAAGCCTGCCCTCAGCCAACATCTCTTTGGGGGAGGAAGAAGAGACGGAACAACATAAAGTCATCCTGCCCACTCAGGAACACATCTCCAGGATAACTGAAAGATTTGTCTCCTGACGTTTGGCTACAGGTCATAATTGCTTCCCACATTCAATAAAACTTTCCTTAAGAAAGTCCCCTAAAGCAGAAAACCTCGGATGCCAGATACAGCTGCAAAGGAGAAGACAAACTGGAAGAAAATAAAAAAGTGGCAGAAGAGGACCCGGTACTGGAAAGCACAGGCTGGCTTTCTCATTCGTTTAGCTCTTTCTGAAATTAGGGTGGCTGGCAAACCCCAAGATTCTCATGCCAGTCATACTTTTTAGGGTATTTCAGAAAAGCACGCAGGCAAACAGTTTGGAAAAGCCTGTCTTCATGAGGATATGTACCTCAACTGTTTTGCCTGTGCAGAAGGATTTTTTTCCCCCATAGGCAAAGAGATCTACTGATGGCATCTCATTTGTTGGTGAGGGCCCAGTTCATCAATGTAGGAAAGCTGGAGAGCCATGAGTCATGGATTCAAAGTTTGACTCTTGGCTTTACTGAGGAAACTACAGTGATTTAACCTGGAGAAATGAAACTATTTTCCCCCTTTCAGGCTAAAGGACATTTTTCGTAGCATCTCTCCATTTGTGAGCCTCATCACTAAAGGCATTTTACTTTGTACTCACTTGACTTTCTGTCTGCAGATGAAGAAGGCCACAAGGGCCACCAGCATGCCAATTAGAAACAGGCCAGCACTCACACCTTCGATGACCCCGAACAAGGGCTCTGTGATCACCCAGATGGAAATAACAAAGGAAAGGAGAGAAAATTAGTGGTAAGAAACCAATCTGACAGCTAGGAAAGCTAAGTACCACTGCTATTCGTGCCCTTCAAGATGCCCACGGTGAGATATTGACTATCCAAAGGCCATGAGCAGGCAGCTGAGGTGAAAGAGTTACCTACATCCTGTTATAGGCAGGTTGGCTCCAGAGTAAACTTTAGGAGTTGATGATGTATAGCTTCCCCCCCCCCACTTCTTTTATTGACTCTGTGGATTTCACACACTGCATCCCAATCCCACCTATCTCCCCATCCCCTTGCATCTGCCCTCTGCCCTTGCAACCTCCCCTCTCAATATAAAACAAAATTTAAAAGAAAAGCCAAAACCGGAGGAGGAGAAAGAAGAAGAAGAGGAGGAGTAGGAGGAAGAGGAAGAGGAAGAAGAGGAAGAAGAAGAAGAAGAAGAAGAAGAAGAAGAAGAAGAAGAAGAAGAAGAAGAAGAAGAAGAAGATTTCATCATGGAAGCTGTGCAGTGTTGCCCAGTAAGTCACACAGTTTTTACCCTTTAGTCCATACATCTTTACTTTTAAGTGTTCATTGCTGTGAGTCATTTGTATTTTCTTTGAAAAGCCTTCTTATATTGCCTCTTCTGTTTAGTTTTGTGGAGTAGCCCCTTTTGGGAACTCCACTCTTAGACCTTAGATCTGTTTATTCTACATTGATTTACATTACTCATCAAATCAACAGAGTAGTTTTCCTTTTAATGTGTTTATGATTCTGCTTTAAATATTTGCTTAGCATCTTCTTTTATTGAACTACATAAATTTTTCTGTTGCATAACAATAGTTCAAATCAGAAAGAATCATGTTTGCAAAGGTCTCTACTCAACAGTAAATTATAGCCAGACACATCCAAATCCTCTTAGCTGGCTTCTGATCCTTCTTTGGCCCGATAGGAAGGAGGTTATCCTCGGATTTGCTGGAAACAGACAGGAAGGTCTGTGAGGTTGGGGCATCCTTTATCACACAGCAGGAGAGACCAAAACCATGTCCTCAGACCAAAAGGCTGAGCACTGCAGCACACCGGACAAGGAAAGCTTGGATGTGATGGCATCAAAGAACAAAGGGACGGGAGCCATGAAACTATCATCACAAGCGCCTTTACCTATTGAGGCATTTCACTAGCCCAAGATTTTAAATAATGTAAAAGAAAACATAAAAAAGGAAGACAAAAATCACCTTTTGCTTCTCTATGTTTGGATATCATAATTAATACTTACTGTTTTTCTTCCCCACTTCTTTGACATGGACATTTGTCTCTAGTGTTTAAGGGTGATTACTTCCATGACCCCCCTGCCTAAATGGTGGTGTATCATTTGCACATAACCTGCACACCCTCTGTTTGCCACAGGACACCTCTGGATTAACAGACAGTGCCTATATACTGTGAATGCTGTGGCAGCAGTTGGTCGACTGTATTGTTTGGAGAACAATGGCATGGAAAGAAGGGTTGTTTATAATTAACACAAACACATATTTGTTTCTTGAATTTATTTTCCTGATACACAGTATTGGACCTGTGGATACAGAGAACCAGCTCCATATGCATGGTTTCTGTCCCACCTACAACAGAGAGCCCTTTGTACCAATTTATAGTTTTACCCGTGTAAGCTCTTAATATTGGTGTTTTTCATTCACTTAAAAATTCATTTTTAGGGGAAAAACATCATGTACTTCCACCTTCTTTTAAAGATTAATCTCCCTCCAGTCTGTTCTGTAAACCTGGTGTAATCCCTCTGATCCACATCAATCTGTGGTCACGTGGAGATTAAAATCCAAGGGAAAATAAATACCCAGTCGCTATCAGGCAAGTCACCATCCTTCCCCACTAAAGGCTCTTGTAGATGACTGGAGAAGGCACAGGTGGATGGAAAGGAGCCTTACCTGACTTAGTGGTGATGGGCAAAGAGAAAAATGTATCTGAGTAGAGAGGCTTTGTGAACTCTTTCAAGTCCTCGTCAAATAGCTGTGTAAAGGCCCGGATGCTGATTCTGAAAGAAAACAAGTTTATTTAAATGAAAACCAGTGACTGGGCAGAGTAGGATGGGCTGAAAGATGAGCTCAAAGGAAAACAGGTGGGCAGCTGGTCGTTACGCACGTAGGGTTAAGATGAATTATGGGACCAGATAGACATGGGTTCATGCAATCATTCACTGATTTGCTCATCAAATACTTATTGAGCCCCTGCAGTGTGCAGGCTACTTTTCTAGGAGCCAGGGATAATAAGAGGAATAAAACAAAATCCCAACCATCCCAGACCCCAAACCCCTAGATGAAATCTGACAGTAAGCCTATAGTGTCTGATGATAATGAGTACCATTGATAAGGAAAGAACATGGAATTAGAAGAAGAAGAAGAAGAAGAAGAAGAAGAAGAAGAAGAAGAAGAAGAAGAAGAAGAAGAAGAAGAAGAAGAGGAGGAGGAGGAGGAGGAGGAGGAGGAGGAGGAGGAGGAGGAGGAGGAGGAGGAGGAGGAGGAGACTGACAACTTCAAGTGTTACCATGGTGATTATCCTTAAGACAGGCAGAGTTCTGACTACATGAGGCTCTTTATTTAATATGTGGTTCTTCCATGTGCTTTGAGAAGTTATACTTCCTCTTACCAAGTATTCTTTGCCAAGCTTGTCCTCCACAGGACTGAACCAAATGTATCAGAAAAAAAAAATACAAGCATGCTGAGTTCTAGAAAACAAATGTATATGCTGTGAGTTCTAGAAAGCACATATATATACATATACATATATATATACATATATACATATATATATATATATGCTGTGAGTTGATGAAGCTATAAGAATGTTGCAACTCTTCAGGATTCATCTTGACTGATCCCTCTGATCATAAACACTCAATGGACACTGTGTGTGTGTGTGTGTGTGTGTGTGTGTGTGTGTGTGTGTGTGTGTGTGCGCCAAGTACTTGCTGAACTGTTCTATGACCAACGGCATGTCTGTGTCCCCTGTTACACTGGACCCTTGAAGCCTAGCAAAGAGGTCAAGTAATTCTGTAGAGGGGTTTTAAAAGTCATGGAGAAATGCAGAATTAGAAGGATGTAGGGCTAGGGGCTGTCAATGAAGCCAGGGGAGAGTAGATATATAGTGTAACCAACTCTGTGGTTCACAGGTATGATATGGGGCTGTCTGAAGATTGAGCGGACATTATAAGCAAACCAGAGAAGAGCGGAAAGCATCCCAAAGGATTGTAAAAACAAATTTCAAAGAGTCAGAGATGTAGGAGAGCCAGCCACAGGGAACTTGATGGAGTGAGGGGTCAGAGGGCAAATGGCAGGACATGAGCTATTGTAGTTGAATGGGAATCGCAGACAAGACACAAGGAGCTCTGATCTGTCACATCCATGACCCTTCAGGACAACTCTGTGATGATGTGCAGATGGGGAAGGCAAGGACTAGGGTGCTAGGATGCTGCTTACAATGTGATACAGCTAGAAACTAGCAGAGCTGGAGCTCGAATGGTGTGGTTTTCCCCTGGGCCTTGGCAGCCACTGTGGACAGGACAAGTATGTTCCAGGAAATAGGTGGTCCTGGTCCAGACATAATCGTCCATAGTTTCTTATTTGCTCTTCTTGTGAAATGTAGTACTATTGCCCTTTCTTTACACTTTCACCCTCTGCCATCTCAGTTACAGAGTCAATTGTGGCCCAAAATTATTACCTGGAAAGTTCCAGAAATAAACAATTCCTAAGGTTTAAGCTGTATGTCATTCTGAATGGCATGATGAAATCTTACTTTGTTCTATTCTGTTCCATCCAGAGACTGAAACACTCTTTCGTGCAGCGTGTCCACATGTGTGTGTACAGGTACAGGTGTGTGCAGGTGTGCATGGCCATGTGTGCAGGCCTGTAGGGAGGCCAGAGGACAACCCCAGGAGCTATTTACCTTGTGAGTGTCTGTTGTTCTTGAGATAGTGTCTCTCTTTAGTCTGGGGCTTGCAGATTCAGCTAGGCTATCTGAACCCTAGTGAACCCTAGAAAATATTGCTTATCACCATTTTTTTTTTCAATTTTGGGATCACAAGCATACAACCATTCCACCTAGCTTTTGTATGTAGGTTCTGGGGATCAGTCTTGGGTCCTCCTGCTTGTCTGACAAGGACTCTACCAACAGAGCCATCTACTTAGCCTCCCCCCCCCCGCCACCCCCATATTACTCAGTAGCCAACTGTTAGTTTAGTTTTGTTTTTGTCTTTTAGAGACAGGTTTTATGTACCTAGTTGGAGCTCAGACTTGCTATATAGCCCATGTATGGTGGTTTAAATGAAAACAGCCCCAATAAGCTCATAGGAAGTAGCACTATTAGGAGGTGTGGCCTAATTGGAGTAGGTGTGGCCTTATTGGAGGAAGTGTGTCACTGGGGGTGGGCTTTAAAGTTTCAAACATTCAAGCCAGGCCCAGTGTCACTCCCTCTTCCTGCCGCCTGAGGATCCAGATGTAGAACTCTCAGCTACCTCTCCAGCACCATGTCTGCCTGCATGCCTCCATGCTTCCCACCATGATGACAATGGACTAAACTCCTAACTGTAAGCCAGCCAGCCCCAATTAAACATTTTCTTTTATAAGAGTTGTCATGGGGAGTGGGGGGGGGGGAAGAGTTGCCATGGTCAGGGTGTCTCTTCACAGCAATAAAACCCTAACCAAGACACCGGAGTATCCTCGAATTCTTGATCCCCCTGCCTCTGTCTCTCAAATGCTAGTATTAAAGGCTTGGCCTACCAAGCCCAGCTTTCTGGAGCCATCTTATTATCAGATGGATTGTCACAATACCCCAGTGCTTATGTTAAAGAAACCTTAACTTTCACTTTATAATGCAGAGTAGTAGTGCTGGCAGTTCATGTATACTAAAGAGAAACTTCCCTTGGTTTAATATGTGAATATTGTTGATTTAATAAGGAAAAGGATCTTAAGCTGAGGTTAAAGATCTTAGCTGAAAATGAACCTGACATGCTAAGGATCACACTGGGACATGGTAAGTGCTTAGTTAAAATGGGAAAGGCTTGAAATCATGGGGTTTAGTCCCAGGCAGATCCTGTAGTTCTTTGGACAGAGAGGACTACGATACCCCATCATCTTCTATCTTTCTAAGTCAATGAACAAGCACAGTCCTAGCCTTTCACTTCTACAGGAGAACAGTTCCCAGAATAATTTTGTTCAGGTTCTTTGAACCCAGATCACCAAGGAACCAAGGACTCTTCTGACTCCTACAGAGACTGAAAGGTCCCAGTTTCTGATCCTGTGTGTGTATCTTGCCTCCTCTGTCTAATGACTGATCTCCTTTATGAAGAACCATGGGCTTTTTGAAGTATAGATCCCTGGGTTTGTTCATGTTTACCCTGGAGGCCATAATCTTGCCTGAGAATTACTTGTGTGGAGTCCCTGTAGTTACATGGAGTTCTGGACCCCAAGAAAGCCTTTGTTTTGGGGAAACCATCTGCTTGCCTTTGTTGATGGGCTGGTGGAGGAGACAAAGAACTCTCTTAGGTGTGAAGATATGCTACAATCTCCTTTGGAAACTGACAGAAAAAAATCTACTTGGTCTCAGAAGTGGGACTCAAAATAGGTTAAGAGTCAGTAAGACCTTGCTTGACACTGATCAACCAGAATGCACACTGGCTCACAGGGAATCTGACTAGCCGCCATGTTGCCTGGATTATCAGACTTGCCACAACACCCAACAGAGAACATCCATCCCCCGAGGAAATAATAAAATTGGATGTATGTAGCCTTATCATCCAAGACAGGAGCTTAGGTTTCCTTTCTCTGGAGGATGCTGATTGGGTGACTCTATTTGCTCTTGGAACCACCATGAAGAATAAGAATGCCACAAATTCCTAGGGTGGGAAGGCCCTTTCTGACTGCAGCTGTACTTTCTGGGGACCGACAGCAAACAGCTGCTCTATTCATCTGCCACCTTGGAGTGGGGAACAGGTGTTTCTATTCATTCAGGCCTCCCTTCAAGAGTTCTGTCTGGACCATAGAGCACTTTCGTGCTTACACACCTTGGAGAGTAAGTATGATTTCAGTCTCATTCAAAACGCATGATAGAGCTTCATGTTGTTTGGGTCTCCCTCAACTCGGCCTATCTGAAGATTTTCACAACAGTGAGCATCGTAAATTTCTTGACAAATGCTAAAGGAGTTGCACGAGAAAGAATGATTTATTAAAAGCCCCCGGTGTTTCACACAATGCTTTGGAAAACCCTCTTTGCACATTACCTGTGAATGGAGGCAGGAGCCCAACTTTTATAGATTACTCTCTATAATATAGAGCACTCGAGCAGCGTAGGCTATTAATCTACAGGAGTTCATATGCACGGTAGTGCTCAGCTGCCTCAGCACCTCATAACGTAGTACATCTCTCTAGCAAATGATGGCAATGTATCTAACCTGTAGGCGGTGTGCGGCTTCAGTGGTCCATCACAGAACTTCTGCTGACTGGGATCACATTTGCCGCCAAGGCTGTCCATCTCCGCTCCAAGCTTAATGTTAAAACTCTTAGAACTGCTGTCGGGACTTTCCGCACACTTGCTGGCAAAATAATTGGTCTGGTAGACTCGAATGGAGGTGTTGTGTCTGTATTCCAGGTAGGAAGGGAGAGGGTGCTGTTGTTCTGGCTTTAGCTCATCCATACCTGCAGGAGAAAACCCACAGTTAAAGATGTGTGTGTGTGTGTGTGTGTGTGTGTGTGTGTGTGTGTGTTTATCTTGAGTGCTACATTTCTAAGGTTACATGTTCATTCACTATCTTTGGTTAGCCCATCCCATAATACAGATTTGGCAATCTCAAAACATGCTATTTGAACCTATTGTTTCTAAAATAAGTATAATCATTGTTATAGTTATGCAATACACAATCAGTTTTCTAGACTACCAAATCAATCAATTGCATCAAATAATAACGTGTCCCATAGCTCCAGACGCCTGGTGACGCCCCGTCAAGAGAGTGAAGTCACTCAGTAATCTCTCTGCCTGGCCAAACTCACTGTAGTTGCAGAAACTCAATGACCTGGGAGACAGAGAAGAGATAAGAAAAATCGTGTCCCAAGGCAGAGTAGTTGGCCCCTAGAGGACAACATGCACACCCAGAGACATCTTACTCTTCTGTTATCTTGAGTACAATTTGTTCCTGCCTCAAATTTGTCTGCTCACTCCGAACACTTCCCAGAATACCCTCCTTGTCCACCCAGCCTGCTTGGACGCTGTGAACTAGTTTTGATGTTGCTTGAGGAAAAACAAAAAGCATAATTAATAAGGAAAATATTACAGAGACGGGATTCTATCTCCGATGCCCTTCCAGAAGTGGGTTTATCACAGCACCTAGGACTTTGTTTAGTAAGATCTGCTCACCTGGAGTATATCTTATAAATATTTTTTTTTCTGATTTATTGGCATTTTATTTATGCTGTCTCTAGGGAAGCAGATTTGAGGGTAGAGAAGGAACTGACCAGGAGAGATTAATTCCAAGAACTGAGTTCCTCCCGATTTTTATTCTTAGACCACATTTTAGAAAGGATCCACACAGAGACTTGGGGGTCCTTTTTTCTCCCTTCCTCTTCCCAAGGACCCATTTGAAACCCTGATGCCACCTTTCAAAGGTTCTCTGGGCTCCTCCTTTTATATATCCCTTCTTCCATGCCCTTTAGCCAGGAGAGCCCCCCCTTGGGACCAGTGTACTGAAGTCCCAGATGGCAGATGACTTCTTGCATTTGGCTGGTTGTTTGGTCATTAATTCACCTTTTCTGAAATGGAGACATTATTTTGTTGGCAACAGTTGAAGTGAAAGGGAATACTGCCTTTAGGATGAGTGTATGTGGATGGACTGTTCTCTTTGGGTACCAAGGGACGATCGCTCAACTCTGTGGACACCAGTAACGGAAATGTACCTGTCTGTGGAGCAGAAGGCTGGCTGCCCTGCCAGTTGTGAGTTTTGGGTCCCTGCCCTAGATACCCATGACGTGGAAACACATTATCTTCATTGCTGCCCAACTAAAGTCTATTCACAGCTCACAAATTCATCTCCAGTTCCACAGGGTGTGAGGAAATCAGGAATGTGCCAGTGACCCTCAAAATTATTTAATTAATTATGCATAACCCATTTCATACAATTAAATAGAATGCAAAACCACACAGACTGTGAAACACCCAGTGAAACTAAAATACCATTTAGTCTGGAAACTGTTCCAGGGTTGTCCTGTTTAAGAATTCCCCTTTGCCCATAAACTGCTCCAAAGTTGTCAGAGGCAATTAGGGGAATTCATGTATAGCACCTTGAATAATTTTGAGAAAAATAAGGAAGGTGAAATGGACTAACGTCACCATGCACACTGGGACACTCTACTTTGGGAGAGTCAACACTTAGGACCTGAACAGTAAATGGATACTTGAACACATGTACCCCCGATACGGCACCCACACTGGCAATTTGACAGAATGTGTTATAATAAACTCTAAAGGTTACAGTTCAGTTGTGTATAATGATAGCTATTGTATAGCATTTACCCAGTCTGTGGAAACCGGGTAGTCCCTGCATAGGCTACAAAACTAGATATTGACATACTGTTAAAAATTAAAAGCTGGGTGTGATAATATGTCTGTAATCCAAGCAGTGGGGAAACTGAGGCAGGAGACTCATGAGTTTGAGGTCAGCTTGGACTACAAAGTGGAGGGTAAGACCAGACTGGACTACATAAAAAAAAAAAATCCTGTCACCAAAAACAAGCAGCAGTAATATCAAGCAAACACAATTCAGTAAAGGAGGTGGCACTTCAAATATATCTTTTCTCGCTTGCAAGCTTTTGGGAATTTTTGTGAATGGATGCATAGTTTGGGAGTATGTGGCCGTCAGAGGCATTTGAGACAGAGAGAGATAAAGAGTTGAGATGCTGTTATATAATGGCAGATTAAAAAAATAGGAATAAACAAGATTGCTGGGTAGCTAAGAGGATATTCAAGCATTTCCAACAGTGCTTGAGAAATAGTAAGGGTTCTAAAAATGATCTTTATTATTTTTTTAGATAGAACCTGCTACATAGTTATAAGGATGGTCTTGAACTCATAGTAGTCCTCCTGTCTCAGCTTCTTGAATGCTGAGCTTGTAAGTATGGGCAACTCTGTTCGGCTCAACAGTTATTGTTATTGTTATTGTTATTATTACTGTTATCATGCTCCTGTCATTATGCCTAAAGATAACAGGGTTCATTGCCCAAGGAGTCTCCGGGCAGCTTTACTTATATCTCCCTATATCCAGCAGACATAGAAATGAGTGTTAAAAATGGTGGTGGCGCACGCCTTTAATCCCAGCACTCGGGAGGCAGAGGCAGGCGGATCTCTGTGAGTTCGAGGCCAGCCTGGTCTCCAAAGCGAGTTCCAGGAGAGGCGCAAAGCTACACAGAGAAACCCTGTCTCGAAAAACCAAAAAAAAAAAAAAAAAAAAAAAAATGTAATTTTTCTACTCTTCAAACGTCGTCATTGAAGGAGCCCCCACGCGACCTCCAAGAAGGCGATGCTGTGTGGTTGGTTCATGAATTCGTCATGGCTTACCGTCAGCCTCTCTCACCACCACCGCGAAGTATTTCACAGCTCCGTTGGTGTCGCTGAACCAGCTGCAGTTGACGGTGAAGTTGATGGAAGACTTGCTGGTCAGCACATCCTTCTCATTCACACGAATGTGCGGAGGTGGTGGGGGAGGGCCTGAAAAAGCGGTGGGGAGGGCGTCAGGAAGGGTCACCACGGGGCTGCTTCCACCTCCTGAACAGGTCAGGGAGGTGAAGGTCTGCAGTCACCCCAGCCTCTGTGCGCCACCGCCGGAGAGTGTGATTACAGCCCCCGTGAAGAAATTCTCCTCCTCCCCTGAACAGAAGTAGGCAGAGAAAACCATTTGCGGTGGCACATGAAGCTTTAATGAAAGAGGCGGCTCCCCTGCAGGATTTCCTCAAGTTGTAGCACCGAATTGTTTAAAAGCCCCACTCGTTATGGACTAACTAGATCAGGCAAGGTGAGATGCTTGAATCCCAACTTGTTCGGGCACTTTCCTATTGACGTGTTTGCTATTGGAGAACTTCACTCAGACAAATGTCTCCATTTTCCTGGGGTCATTTGATCCTCTTCTCCAAGTAATAGCGACACAGGGCTATGTACATGTGGACTGTGTGCAAGAGAGCAGGAGTGCCGGAAATGACCGAGAGAGATGCGAAGTCCTCTCCCGGGTGCGGCAGGAGGTCCCGCGCAGACCTCTGGGAACACTTACGGTCTATCATAGTGATGGTGCTGTCTTCAACCACGTCACTGGTCACACCGGCTGACTGCACCTTGATGGACACCAAGTACCTCTTATGAGGCACAAGCATCATGATGTTGAGGAGAGATTTTTCTTTCTCCAGCTTTCTGGAAAACTCGATTTCTTGGGTATCCATTTTTCGGCACTCAACGCTGTAACCATCGAAGTCGGAGTCAGGTGGTACCCAGGAACAAGCAATGGCTGTCGAGTTCTGGGGGCGGCAATGCAGGTTTTGTATCTTGTCTGGCTCTGGAGGCGCAAAGGGGAAAAGACAGCTCAGGAGTGTGGGAGAATCATTTCCTCAAGCACTCTTGGAGGGAACTATCTCTGAGATGTACACACACACACAGTCCCCAGAATGTATTGAATTGCTTTTTGGGGAAAATATTTTTGAAGATCTTCAAGGAAAATTTCTGGCTGCTGGACTGCACTTTGAAAAAAAAGTTTAAAGCGGGTGGTGGTGCCACGTGCCTTTAATCCCAGCACTCAGGAGGCAGAGGCGGTCAGATCTCTGAGTTCAAGGCCAGCCTGGTCTACAGAGAGAGTTCCAGGACAGCCAGGGCTACTCAGAGGAACCCTGCCTTGAAACACAACACAACAAGCAAACAAAAACGTTTAAAGTCAAAATGGGGCCAGTGAGACGGCTCACCAGGTAAAGGGGCTTGCCACCAAGCCTGATGGCCTGAGTTCAATCCCTGGAATCTACATGATTATAAGGAGACAACTGACTTCCACAAGTTGTCCTCTGACCTCCACATCCATGTGTGCTGTGGCATGCACACACATGCATACTCATGAGAGCATACACACACAAAAACAGATAAATAAACATACATGCAAAAGAAATAGTTGGAAATGTCACTAAGGGCGTGGCTGGGTGACTTAGCACTTGCCTGGCATGTGTGAGGCCAAGGGTTCTATCCTCAACACTACAAACCCAAATAAAAACAACATAACAATAAAAGCCCCACAAAAAACGAAGAAGAAAATTACTAGTATGGTTGAACAAATAGATGCCTGTGAGCACACTAAAAATGGCTGGTTAGAAGCTGAGGCAGGGTAGCTTAGAGATGAAAGGGGAAGCTTCCAGCCTGAATACAAAGTCTACTTACCAACACTTCTAGACAAATGACAAATGACTTCCCACCTTTACCAACCACCTGTACAAGACTCTCTACTTCCTATAGTTATTGTAATGATTTAATGTAGAAGCATGTACAGCCATCTAGAACACTGGCTGGCAGAGTCACTACTCAATAAACATGACCTCTGCTGAAGAGGAGGCTGGGAAATAACTGTAGTGACTCATGATCCTCCCTGTACCGACTTCCATCTCCATCCTCCAATCTTGCCTACAGAAACCTAGAAGGACTCTGTCCATCTACTCTCTACCAAGTCCAGCCATCTTGAGTAAGATTATGGATTCAACCCAAGCCCCATTGGAGTAAGATGATCCTCTTATCCCATCCAGAAGCCAAGAGCAGCAAAACAAGCCGTACTCGTCCTCACAGAGCCAGAGATTGGTTTGCTGTATGTTTTCCAGGAATCTCCACTGACAGTCTTGACGCTGAACTGATAGGCTCTCCCTGGGCGAAGCCCATACACAATGCGTCCTTCTGATTTTCTGTTGCTGTAGGGGTTGAAGACAGTAAGTGCATCTCGGGGGAGCCACTGCAGCTCAAAGTCACTGTAGTCTGTCCAGTCTGGGGGCCCCTTCCAGGTGATGGCCAAGGAAGTGTTTGCAACATCAGCAAATGACAAAAGACTGGGGGGACTTGGGGCTATACATAAAATAAAATGGAAAATCACATAATCAAATTTGTGATGTAACATATAGTTTCAGAGCATTGAGTGACATAAGATCTACTATAATGTACAGAGTGATCCCATGATCACAATAGATATAGAAGCTTTCTTTTACAGTAGTTATCTTGCATTAGGCATTATCTAGCATTTTGGGTCTTTTCTGTAAATATTCATAACCATAGTTTCCTTACCAGGGTGCCACAGAGCATGAATGTACCCTGAGTGGGTTATGTGTGTAGGAAAGTACTCCATCAGATTTGGAAGCAAAGGGCTGGGATTCAGTTTTATTGTGTCCAGTTTTAAATAGTCTTGTAGACTGACTCTCTAGTGGTTTGCAAGAAAATGTCCCCCAAAGGGAGCAGCACTGTTTTGGAGTAGGTGTGGCCTTGTTGGAGGAAGTGTGTCACTAAGGTCTCTTTTGCTCAAGCTTCCCTTGGTGTTATATTGAGACCACTTCCTGTTGCCTGCAAGATGTAGGACTCTCAGCTACTTTTCCAGCACCGTGTCTGCCTGCATGCTACTATGTCCCACCATGACGACAATGGACTGAACCTCTGAACTATAAGTGAGCTACCCAATTAAAAAAAATTTTATAAGCATTGCTGTGGTCATGTTGTCTCCTCATAGCAATAGAAACCCCAACTAGGACGGATTCCAAGGCATCCACCTTGTGTGCACCCAAGGCATAACAGTATATAGGAGAGACTAGTCCATAGTGATGATGTGTATCATTATCCTCATTTTTCAGATATGAAAACTGAGGGTGAGATGCTCAGTGATCTACCTTGCTTCATGCAGGTAAGTAGTGACTGTCCAAAACTAAGAACCTTGTGCTTTTTATACAAAGCAGAGATGGGTTTTATCTTATCATTGTGTGTATGTGTGTGTCCATTGTATGTAGATATATGTGTATGCCCGTGTATGTGTGTGCCCATTATGTGTATGCCCGTGTGTATGTGTGTATGTCCATTGTGTGCAGACATATGTGTATCCCTGTGCTTGTGTGTGTGTCCATTATGTGCAGACATATGTGTATTCCCGTGTGTGTGTGTGTGTGTGTGTGTGTGTGTGTGTGTGAAACACAGAGAGAGAGAGGGAGAGAGAGAGAGAGAGAGAGAGAGAGAGAGAGAGAGAGAGAGAGAGAGGGAGAGAGAGAGAGAGAGAGCACGTGAGCATGCATACATCTCATAGTGCATGTGTTAATGTGTAAAGGTCAGAGGATAATGTTGAATGTTAGTCTTGGCACTTTATCTCGACTGAGGCAGGGTCTCTTTGTTGTCTGCCACCCCTGTATATGCCAGGGTGTCTGGCTCACAAGCTTCCTGTGTCCCCACCTCCCACCTTGCCTGAGGAGGGTCCTAGGATTACAGACATACACTCCCATGCTCCACTTTACTTGGGTTCTGGGTATTCAAACTTAGCTCCTCATGCTTGAGCAGCAAGTTCTTGACCCCCTGAGGAGCCATCTTATCATTAAAATCATAGTCAAAATACATCTCTAGAAGTCACTCCTCACCAGTGTTTGGCTGGGCTTCTTACCTGTCCTGCCCTCCCCTGTGACTTTATTGCTGAGGTCCCCACTGTGAGTCACCACACACAGCGTGTATTTCCTTCCAGGAACGAGACCTTGAAAGCGCCACTCTGTCAGGCCCTTGTCTTTCCAGTTTTCCTTCTTTGTGCCATTGGGATTGTAGAGAATCAGCTCATAGAAATCAAAGTCCCCAGAGGCTGGGCTCCAGCTGAACCAAAGGCTGTCTGTCATGTTCCGATTGGATCCTTTGAGATGGTTCACGGCAGCTGGGACTGAAAGGAGACAAAACCTTGCACTGAGAATGGAAATCATGGTGCTCAACTGTGTTGATCCACAGGTGAGAATCTGGGCTGTGCTGGGCACACGGTTCAGTCCCGTGCACTGTGGACTCAGTTCGTGCTGATGGACCAGACTGCTCATGTTGAGGCTTGTGTGGGGTAAAAATGGGTACAAATTAAACTGAATCAAAGCAGGTGGAAATTCTTCCTGTTGGCCATATGCACCCTGATAAACAGGTCCAGTGAAATATTCAGGACTGATTAATACCAGGCAGCAATGTACCAGTTACCTTCCAAAAGACCCAGAAAATGGTTCCAGCTTCTCCTAGCCCCACCCACCTCTCTGGCAGCGACCATCCCATAATCACCCTCTGAGTTTCTTTACTGTCCTATCCGCCTTTAGGTTCTCAGTTACATCATTTTCTTTCTTGTCAAAGTCTGTATGGGCATAACCTCAGTTTAGAAAAAGAAGTGGTCAGAGTCATTTCTGCTAATACATAAATAAGTTGCAATGCTATGTACTCCATAGTTTTTGTTTTTTAAAGCTGGTATTGTTTGGATAATGGTGATTTCTTGGACATTCCCTTTTCCCCTTTCTAATGTGGAATCTTATTATGTAGCTCAAATGCTCAAACTCACAAATGCTCCCTCCTCAGCCTCCTGAGTGATGGGATTGAAGGCATGCACCACCATGCCTATGTACATCTTCCATTATCTGCTTATTAACATGTCAGGTCCTCCTGAAACATATTGTTATATGATACTGATAACAACGGTAACATCTAGGCTGTTTGTGGTCTGAGCTGATCACAGCTTTCTTTTAGTCCTTTTGGTGGGCAAATAGAAAATGCCTTTAGGGTGCTGTCTTCACATGTCTCCTCTCACCCTCAGATCTCAGCCGAAAAAAATCCCTCTGTTTAAAGTAGTGTCCTGTCTTACTAAGCCATGGTCTGCACATGCTCATTTCATGGAATTTTTCAAAGTCATCTCCCTTTAAAATCCTGACCCTCTCCTCTCCTCTCCTCTCCTCTCCTCTCACATGGGGCTCTCTAAGGCCAGAAGCCTGTCTTTCTTGGTCATTGCCATTTTCTAGGAGTCAGTCATGTGCCTGGCCCCTCAAAGCACTGAGAAACAGTTGTCAAATAAGGAAGAAGTGAAATAAGAATTAACTTGTTTGTAGCCCAGAGAGATTTTTGTCTCCTGTTTTCCTGGAACTCTTGTTCACCTTAGCTAGGGCTCAGTTTCCAACACAACAGTGGTCAGTGTGTGTGTGTGTGTGTGTGTGTGTGTGTGTGTGTGTGTGTGTGTGTGTGTGTGTGTATACATTCCTCTGTGCGTATGTGTGATTTGTAGTTGACCTTCTGTGGACCTGCTCTGCCTTCCATCTATTCCCTGTAGGAAGATGCAGGTGCAGGGCATAGCTTGACTAGAGTCGTGAGGTGTTACAACCCTCGTTTGAAGAGTTTGCTGGCAAGTAAAGGAACTGGGTTAATTTTTCACAAACCCCATCAAACAAATAAGTGGAGGCCAAGGAACAGAAGCCAGTGGAATAAGTAGACACAACTCACACTTAGTCTGAGTTAGGGTCAAAGGTTTCAAGGTCACACATTTCTATAAAGCTCTACTCTGAACAGAATGGGGACAGACGAACAAGTCAGGGCTGACCCAGTGGATACTGTGACACCTCCCTCCCAGTCCATCCCTGCTTGGGTCTCACCTGTTCTGCCGAATATAAAGGACTCATTGGACAGCTCCCCACTGTGCGTAACAATCACCATCTTGTACATCCGGCCTTGTAGCAAGTTCTGGAAAGAGAAGCTCTGGACTAACGGGTCAACTTGAGCTCTTTCCTGAAGAGTTTTGTCTGGGTTGTACAGAAAGATGTTGTACCAGCTGAGCTCACCCTCCGAGGCAGTCCAGCTGAAGGACAGGTGTCTCGTGGAGTTCTCTGTGATCTTCAGATTGGTGACAGCCGCCGGGACTGGAAGAGTCAAGGAACAAGAGAATAAGTCAGCATTTCGGCATGTCCCTGACACAGTCCAGGATGAACACCTTGGTGGACACATTCAACCCCAAACACATGCATCATCCCTGCCTTTAAGATATGTTGCCTTCCAATAGATGCAAATAGCAGCCTCCTAGGGTGGGTCTTCCCTAAGAGACCTTGGTGATAGCCCTTTCCAGTTTCTGTCTCTGATTTTGACAAGTTTGTGCTCCAGACAAGCTCTGATTGGCCTGCCCAAATACCCACTCCATCTAAGAGCTGCTGGAGTGAGAGAAGGGGCCTGTGCTGCAGATCCAAAACTGCAGGATCTTTATGACACAGTGTAACAACAGGTTAGCTGAGAGAATTCTCAGTGAGGATCCCGTACTGATAGTGTAGCAGAAGCCAGAGACCTCTAACCAGACCAATGACTCATTGCCGTGAATTATGGAAGTAAAGCTGTTTGGGCAAAGGGTATAAATGTGTGACAGTGTGACACACCGTAGCTACCATGGTGAATTTTTTTTTTAACTCTTACTTTTATTTTTAATTTTTTTGTTTTCTTTTGGTGGGGGAGGTAGCAAGGGTGGAGGACAGATATGGAGGAATGGGGAGATGAGTGAGATTGGGGTGCATGACGTGAAATTCACAAAGAATCAATAAAAAATTAAAGAAACCAACCAAACAAACAAACAAAAGCAAACACACAATAACCCACACACAGAAACCAATCCAACCCCCTAAAGAACTATTTGATCATATCCTTTGTCTATTATAAGTGAAATAATTTGTGGGTTTTGTTGTTAAATGTTCAAATTCATTATATATTCTGGATGAAAATCCTTTATCAGATAAACAGCATCACTAACATTTCCCTAATTCTTTTGGTGCCTTTTCATTATGGTGACTGCTTATTTTGTTGTATAGAAGCTTCTCAATTTCATATAACCTCCCAGCTCCATCTCCCCCTGCTTCCCTCCCCCACCCCTACTCCCACCCCCACCCATAATTGTAATTGGCCACACTGGTGTCTTGAATTGTTTTCCTGTTGTCTTGATAGATTCAGGTCTTACAATGAAGTCTGTGAGGCTAGCCATGCTGGTGCATGCCTTTAATCCCAGCACTCAGACCAGGCCAGTCAAGGTTACATAGTCAGACACTGTCTCAAAAACAAACAAACAAAACCCCCAACCAATAAGGTCTTTGATCCATTTTGAGCTTATTTTTGTATAGGGCGGGATATATGGGCCATGTTTCAATCTCTCCTTGTAGACACTCTATTTTCTAAGCACTATTTATTAAAGGGAGTGTTGCCTTTTACCCAGTAATGTTCTTGGCACCATTGCTAAGAACCAGTTGGCTGCAAATATGTGAGATTATTTCTGTATGCTTCATTGAAATCCATGGATTAGTATGACTATTCTTTATGGCACTGTAATGCTGTTTTGATTACTATGGCTTTAGAGTATATTTTAAAGTCAGCTAGTATTATACCTCCAGCTCTGTTCCTTTTACTCAAGATTGTCTTAGCTAGTTTTCTATCTTTTGTGCTTCTGTATTAAGTTTAGAATGTTTTTCTAGTTCTGTGAAACATGCCATTGGTATTTTGATGGGTACTGAACTAAAGCTGTAAATCACGTTAGGTGGATGGATATTTTGGCAATATTCTTCCTTCCCTATAACCAATGAATGTGAGAGGTCTTTCCAATTTTGAGTTTGTGTTTCCTTTTCAATTCCCTTTACCAGAGACTTGTAATTGCCATGGTAGAGGCCTTTCACTGCCTTAGGTAAATTCCTTTCTGTGTATCTTGCTTTCTTTGTAACTATTGTGAATGGCATTCTGTTCATTATTCCCTTTTTTAGGAGTTTTGTTATGATACACTAAAATGTTTTGATTTTTGTTTTTGTATGCTGACTTTGCATCCTGCAGTTTTACTGAATTTGTTTATCAACTCTAACAGTCTTCTGTGAACTCTAGAGGTTTTTTTTTTTTTTAAATAGGTAAAATCATAATCACAAGCAGTAATAATTTAACTTTCACCCTACTTGTGTGGTTTTTCCTTTCCTTTCTTCCTCTTGCTAACTAGCTCTGAGTAATACTTCTGGTACCATGTTGTATGAGGGTAGTGGGGCTACACATCTTTGTCTTGTTCTAGAGCGGTGGTTCTCAACCTGTGGGTCTCGACCCCTTTTGAGGGTTGAACGATTCTTTCACAGTCACCTAAGAGCATTGGAAAACACAGATATTTACATTATAATTCATAACTGTAGCAAAACTACAGTCATGAAGTAGCAACGAAATAATTTTATGGTTGGTGGTCACCACAGCCTGAGGAGCTATATTAAAGGGTTGCAGCATTAGGAAGGTTGAGAACCACTGTTCCAGATCTTAGTGGAAAGTTCAGCTTTCTTCTCATTCAGTATGATGTTGGCCAAATGTTATGTATGGCTTTTATGTATTGGCTCCTAGATCCAATTTGTGCACTTTTTTTTTGTCATGAGCAGAAGTTGAATGGCATTGAATGCATTTCCTGTATTATGGAGAGCTTATACACAGATCTGCAGGTATTGAACTGTTCTAGCATCCACAAGGGAAATCCTCTGGTTATGATGAACAGTCTTGTTTGGTCTTGTTGGGTTAGAACTGCTAGTGTTCTGCTGAGTTTTGCGTCTATGTTCACTAGAGATGTTAGTCTATCAGCTTGTTTTTTCTTGTCTCCTTATCTGGCTATGGTATCTGTTAAAATGACTTTGGAAGAATTCTCTCTGTTTCTGACTTTTGGACTAGTTTGAGAAGAGCTGGTTTTAGTGCTTCTGCCTGGTTGGAGGGGCTCCCAAGTGACTGGCTACAGACGAGAAAGCAGCAGAGAACCACCGAGGCAGAAAACGTCAGCACTGGCTCCGGAGCTGGCTGAGGGACAAGGCAGTGGCAGGGAACCATGGTAACTGCTCTGCGGTGCCCGCTTGAAGTCCTGGAGCAAGAGTCCTCCAAAGTTGGAGGGAGCCGATGAGGACAGAGACAGATACGGTGGTTGAAAAGAAAGAATGTCTCCCTGAAGAACCTAGAAAGCATGTTGTTACCACCTGACAGCTTATTTTAACCCCTCTTTCTGACTTTGAGGACGATATGCTAATACATTTGCACTCTTTCAAACGATCAAGTCTGTAGCGAAGTCGTCTATGGCAATAGCAAACTAACAGCGCAAGTTTTAATGACAAACCAGAGTTGGAGTATGGTGTGCTAAAGCCTGTGTGGACTGGCTGGCTGATGTGGAAGTGTGCAGTCAGGATGGACTCGACTACTGTGTCAAGAGCTATGCATCTTCTCCCAGCATGGCCTCGCTCCCTCACTTTACAGCGTCTCCCCCGCGGCAGACAAGGAGATAGCTGGCCCAAACATGACGTAGTGTTACCTACCTGTTCGGCCTTCAGCCTGGGCTTCCTTGCTGAAGAGGCCTCCGCTGACAGTGAGGATCTGCATCTTGTATTTCTTGCCCGGCGTCAGATCTTCAAATTTGTGCTGCTTAGCGGTAGCCGGCTCCGACGTGTTGCTCAGGAGAACCCCATTCTCATTTAGAAGCAGGATATCGTATCTTTCCGCCACACCGACAGCTTTCTGCCAACTTAGCGTTAAGGAGTTACTGCTGTAGGCATTGTCTGCAGTGACTCCCTGGACAGACGCGGGGACTTCGAAGAAACAAGAAAAGCGAGGAAACTCAGGTTCGACCATTCAGGAGAAAATACTCAATTAAGGAAAAATCCTCTAAAACCAAAGCGCACAACTATGCTTTCCTTCCCTAAAAATAATTTCGAAAAAAAACAAATGAAATTTTGGAAAGTGCATAGTTCTGAAGAGTTCTGTCTATAAATAAAGTTTGAAACATCTTCCAGCAAGTGTACATTTTTCCCAAGCACATGTAAATTAAAAAAAAAAACTCTATTAAGACAAAAAAGTACAAAGCAAAGATGAGAAACGCTTATGAAACTGCCATGAAATGTACACATTTAGGTAGTTTTACATTAGATTTTCATCAGTTTGCTAAGTCCATTCGTTCACTGTTCTACTGCGCAGAACCGTGAAGCACTCTACGATCTGGGTCTTGACCAGCTATGAGCTCACCTGTCTGCCCGGGCGCATCTATCTGGTTACTCAGGGACCCACTGACAGAAGCAATGGCGATCCTGTACTTGGCCCCGGCTTCCAGCCTGTGAAAAGTGTGCTCTGAGACGTGCTTAGAGATAGTCTGAGACTGAACCTTCTCATTCTGCCTGAACGCTGATACCACATAGGAGTCAACATCTCCACTACCAGGGGTCCAGGTTACCATCAATCTATCTGTGGTTCCGTCGGCAGAAATGTGAATATTTTTGACAGTACTGGGAACTGGAAAAGAAAAGAAATTTAAAAACCATCATTTAAAAAAAAAATGAACTGTGAGAATATTCAACTAAAGTTTCCAAGCTACTCTGGGATGTGGCTCAATGATACAGAACATGCAAGGCCTTGGGCTCCATCCCTAGAGCCTCCCCAGGTTATGCTTTTGAATAGTTTATCATTTCTGAAAGAATGCATGTGGAAAAAATACCAATTCCCCCCTCAACTCTTCTGCTGGAACAGAAGTTAAGGGGAGAAAGTTCAGATGCAGATCAAGAAATGAAAACATTAGCCATATATTGAGAGGTGGTTAGACTGTCTCTATCCAAGACTTGGTTTTCTTATTTTCTAGCTATGTGATAATAGGCAAATTATTTAACCTCTATAAATTTCTTCATAAGAAAAGAATGTCAATGGTGATGATAGTAATGAGTCATAGGTTTATGAAGACTGGACAGGATATATATTGCTGTGAGACTGTCCCCCAATAAGCTGTCAACTTAATTATTAAATAAATATGATAGCTACTAAAAGAATTCCAAAGAACTGACATCCCAGCAGGAGAGTTATTTACTAAATATATAATATAATCTGTGTGTCCCAGAAGCCCCAGTTAGGCATGTCCACTCATTGTTATTTCTCGGAAAGATTCCTTGCCACATCCACATCATAATATACATTTGTCAATCTTGCCTGACAATATCATTATCACTCTCAGGACAACGTTATGCTTCTTGCAATCCCTCATTTATCTAACTCTTAATCTAAATACTTGCATTATCTAAGATCTTAAATACATCACTGTGTCCACTCAGGCTCAAGAACAGTACTTCAAATTACCCGTGAGGCCCTCAATGAAGGCTGACTGCTGAACATCGCCACTGATGGTCAGGACAAGGATTTTGTAATGGCGCCCTGGTATGAGGGCGGTGAACTGATACTCAGTTGCAGTGTTCACAAGGTGAATAGGAGGAAAGACCTTCATATCATTGAAGAGCAGCTGAACCTCATACTGGTCAACGTCCCCATTGGCTAGTGACCAAGTCACATGGAGGTTTTCGGTGCTCCTGTTGAGAAGTTTGAGGTCCTTCACAGGCTCTGGGACTAGGGAGAGAAATGAAAAGATATTTGAGGAATGGGACCGATCAAGTTTACCTACACAATCTATGAATCACACTCAAGGAACTGCCAAACATCTCTCTCCCCCTGGAAAATCTTGAGTTACTTCATGCATAATTAAGTAAGAAAAATTGAAAGCAACTACTTAAGTTGTGATTCTTCCCCACCCCCCGACATAAATCTTATATGTTACATGTTGGTAGAATATAATTATAAGATGAGTTATGCTCTCAGTCAGAAGATAAAACAAGATGTCTAGAATTTTAACGTCTTGATGCAAGAAGACAGGGGAGAAAAATGAGACACATGTTTTTTTTTTCCTCCATCACTCTGCTTCCTTTTATCTACCAATAAATATTCTATAATAGTAGGCCATTGCTTAGCTGAATGATGTAAGCCCAATGGAGAGATCCACAGAGGTTTCCTAGTGAGAACTTACTCAGGGTCTGAGAATCTGAGCTTGCTTTACCCAGCAGGGCTGCATAAGGGGATGATTTGACCACAGGCGTGGTTACCAGGTGTTTGGAAGGGTCTGCACTTGACTGTGTGGTGCACTTTGATCTAGCAAGGAGGTCGTTTGCCTTGCTCCTCAGCATTGTTATAAAAAATCCTTTCAAATAAATGGAAAAGGATGTTGGGTATTGACCCAGGTTCTCCCAAAGCTATCTAGTGTTTCTGCCTTTCTCCTCTTTGCTATCTTTCTATCTAATGTTTTCTTATCCCTCTTTCCTCCTCATAAGAACCCTTGAAAAGGTGGGAACCGGCCTCCCACAGAGGGTACCAGAACTTGGGACTTGGGTACAGAGTTACTTAGGTACTTGGTACTTGGGTACTTACTTAAGAGAGAGAAGGGGGCACCATGGAAGCAGCTGTGCATGTCCAGTTATGAATTAAGGTTACGGCAATGAATGGTATTCTATTTTTTGGGAGTAAAACTGTATATAGATAAAGCAGAGTGGCTAAAAGTTAAGCCGAAGCAAGTAGTGAAAGTTAGCCTGCAGCAAGTATCTCTCTCTGTCTAGGTCTCTCTCTCTCTCTCTCTCTCTCTCTCTCTCTCTCTCTCTCTCTCTCAATTTCTATCTACTAAATTAGGTAAAAAATACAGGGTGTTTTACACCTGTCAGAATGGTGGCTAAGATCAAAAACACTAATGACAGTCAATGTTGGAGAGGATGCAGAGCAAAGGGAACTCTCCTCCACTGTTGGTGGGAACGCAAACTTGTACAACCACTGTGGAAATCAGTATGGCGGTTTCTCAGAAAATTGGGAATCGATCTACCTCAAGACCCAGCCATACCACTCTTGGGCATATACCCAAGGAATGCTCAATCATACCACAAAGAAACATGCTCAACTATGTTCATAGCAGCACTATTTGTAATAGCCAGAACCTAGAAATAACCTAGATGCCCGTCAACCGAAGAATGGATTAAGAAAATGTGGTACATATACACAATGGAGTACTACTCTGCAGAGAAAAACAATGACAGCATAAAATTTGCAGGCAAATGGTTGGAACTAGAAAATATCATCCTGAGTGAGGTAACCCAAACCCAAAAGGACAAACATGGTGTGTACTCACTCATAGGTGGATACTAGATATAAAACAAAGAACAATCAGACTGCAACCCACAGAACTAGGGAGTCTATATGGCAGGGGGGACCCTAGGATGACTGTGGCTTAGAATAAGTTTTGGTTTTATTCAAAATAAACAAACAAACAAACAAACAAATAAACAAAATTACAGGGTTTAGGTATAGGGATATGGTATAGGAAGAAACTTAGGGTAAGAGTAGAATTTCCCTAGTGCCAGACCTGGTGCACAGAAAAGTGTGTCCAGAAATGAGCAGCCACTGCAGTCTTAGCAGTCTGAGAAAGAAAAGCCAATATGGGGCAGGTAAATAGTAGGCAGATGTTTGTATATTCACTTGTAGAGTTTGAAAAATACGAGAGTTAAGGTAGAACAGTAATAAGTACAGAGGTTCTTGGAGTTCACAGAGGAACTGTGTCCTTGGTTTTTCGACTATGGGACTCTGGATGCAGACTCATGGGGGAGAATCAGAGTCGAAATGCAACAATGTTTTGAGGAGCATGGGCCAGAAAAGACCCCAGTGGAAGCTGTTGGCCTGTGAGCACTAATTTGGAATAGTTGGGATCTGAGTCCTGAGCAGCAGGGGGGAATTTTCCCTGAGGTGGACACAAGAGAAACAAAATCTTCTGTTTTGCTGGAGCTGCTGCTAGATGGGGATGCTTTTACAAAATCGTTCAATCAGGTTCACTTCCCTTTTGGCCACAAAGCTGAGTTTAAGGAACAGAAGTCTTGGGATGAGACAAGGGAGGAGCTGAAGAGCTTGGGAGATTTAGTAATTTCTCTTTCTGAAAAACTAGAGGCTCTTTAGGTCTCCCCTTCTCAGAAGGGTACTCATCTTCCTTCTGTAGTGACAGAATTAGATTCACCTGAGGGGGGGGGTCTATCAGAATGGAAAAGTTGCCCATAGTTGCCCTATTACAAAAAACCTCCTGGAGCATGGCAAACCCTCTCTGCTAGTCCTGTGTCTCCCTTTTAAGCTAGTATTAGAGAAGCAGCTGGCAGAGGGGAGGAGATGCAAGGATTTCAAATGTTCCCTGTGATTGAGCAGCAAGACGCCCAGGGTAATATCATGCGGGTGCATGTTCTGATTCCATTTAAACAACTTAAGGAACTAAAAACGCATGCAACCAGTATGGCCCGACCACCCTGTTTACATTTGCTTTGTTAGAAAGCCTAGGTCTAGAAGCCTTGCCTCCTGGGGATTGAGAACAGATGGCCAGAGCTTGCCTGTCAGGCAGAGATTATTTACTGTGGAAAAGCGAGTTTGTAGAGCAATGTCAGGCCACAGCTGAAATAAACTGGGTCCAACAGATTCCCATTACTTTTGATATGCTTACTGGAGAAGGTCTTTATCGGGAGATAGGTCAGCATTTAAATTTTGATGTGGCAGTGTGTGCTCAGGTAAATGCAGCTGCCCAAAGGGCCTGGAATAAGCTTCCACCATCTGGAAGACAGGCTGAGGATTTATCAAAGATAAGGCAAGGGTCTGATGAATTGTTTCAGAACTTTGTCTCTAGGCTAATGCAGACAGCAGGCAAGTTAATTGGGGATTCAGAAACTGGACTTTTGCTTGTTAAACAGCTCACCTATGAAAATGCTAATACCACTTGTCAGGCTGCTTTGAGATCTTTTAGAAAGAATGGAAACATCTCTATGTTCAACTTTGCTCAGACATAGGGAGAGCCCTTGTATAATCAGGAGATAGTCATGACTGCAGCATTACAGGGAAAAACAGTCAAGGATGTTCTTTACCAGCAAAGAAATTATGGCTCAAGGCAAGGGGGAGCTGTCAGACCACTGGGAAGCTGCTCTGGGTGTGGCCAGATGGGACACCAGGTCAAGAGGTGTCCTGAATGGGGGAAAAGCTTAAGGGCAAATAAGGAACCTGGGTTGTGCCTGAGATGCAAAAGAGGGAAGAAATGAGCTAGTGAATGTCTATCAAGGACTGATACCCAGGGGAATCCTTTTCAGGAAAACAGATGGAGGGGCCAGGCCCAGGCCCTAACAGAGTAGATTTCTGGAGTAATTCTGCAGTCTGTCTCCCAGCAAAGAAATTTATTCAGGACCTCTACAGAGCAACCCCAGGTAGTGCTGTATTAGATCTCAGCTCTTCCATCTATACTATAGTTTTGACTCCTGAAATGGGGATGTAGACCCTCCCCACTGGTATTTATGGGCCTTTGCTGGAAGGCACTGTAGGGTTATTGCTGGGGGAAAGTAGTACCACCATGCAGGGGGTCTTTGTTGCTCCTGGAATAAATGGTGCTGATTACCTTGGAGAAATTAAGGTGATGACTCACTCACCTAAGGGAATTTCTGTAATAAAAACAGGCCAGAGACTTACACAGTTAATTTTACTTCCTCAGGTGCAAACAAGAAATTCAGTTAAAAGGGATGAAAGAGGAGAAGCTGGATTTGGTTTATCAGATGCCTATTGGCTACAAGCCATAGGTCACAGCATCCAGAACTCACTTTGGTTATAAATGGAAAAAGCTCTGGTCTTCTAGACATGGGTGTGAATCTGTCTGCTATTACTGCTAGTCAATGGCCTTCCATGTGGCCAAAGATGGAAACTATGACACAGCAGCAAGGGACTGGTCAAACTCAGTGTCCTGAGCAGAGCAGCAATGAACCTTCCTGGAAAGATGAGGAAGATCATGAAGGAACTTTTTGGCTATACATTGTCCCTCACTTGCCTGCAAATTTGTGGGTTTGAGATGTTATGAGCTGTATGGAAATATACTTATATAGCCCCAATACAGTTATCACTAAACCAAAGGTTCCTGACCACGAGTTGGTAAAAAATAGTGATGGTCAAATGTCATCTTTGCTCTCTAAAGAAAGGACTAATAGGGATGGATTAGAGTATTTTAGGAAGGGTCATTGAATAGCCTGTACTCCATGCAGATCCTATAACTTAGAAATCTGGCCATCTGGTGTGGGTAGATCAATAGCCCCTAACAGAAGAAAAAAAATACAAGCCATCCATCAGTTAGTACAGGAACAGTTGGATGGTGGCCATATTGAGCCCTCTAATTCTCCCTGGAATTCTCCTATCTTCCTGATCAAAAAGAAGTCAGGGAAATAGAGATTATTACAGAATTTAAGAAAAATTAATGAAGCCATACAGCCAATGGGAGCTTTGCAGCCTGGATTCCTATAGCTATACCAAAGGATATTTATAAAATTATTTTGGATTTAAAAGATTGTTTCTATACTGTCCTTTTGGCTCCCCAAGATTGTCAAAGATTTGCATTTAGCATTCCATCAGTTAATTTTAAAGTGCCCATGAAAAGATTTCATTGGAAGGTTTTGCCCCAGGGAATGGTCAATAGCCCAACATTGTGTCAGAAATTTGTAGCTCAAGCAATCTAAAAGGTTAAGATCAGTTTCAGCAAGTTTATATTATTCATTATATGGATGATATTTTGCTTGCACATAAAGATGAAGAAATTTTGTTTGATACCTTTGGATAGCTTCAGCATTGCCTTACCCATGCAGGGTTAATTATTGCTCCAGAGAAAGTGCAAAGACAGCTACCTTTCCAGTATCTAGGAAATATATTATTTCCCAAGGAATTAAAGCCTCAAAAAATGGAATAAGAAAGGATGGCTTAAAAACTTTGAATGATTTTCAAAAGTTATTAGGGGACATTCAATGGCTATGACCTTATTTAAAATTATCTATCGGTGATTTGGACCCTTTAAAAGGAGATAGTGATCCTAATTCACCCAGACAATTAACTGAAAAAAGTAGACAGGTTCTTTTATAGATTGAGAGTGTTATTCAAAACCAGCAAGTATGATATATTAATTATGATCTACCTTGGCATACATATATCTTGCCCACTAGACATACTCCTACAGCAGTGTTACGGCAAAACAGTCCTCTTTTATGGTTACATCTTCCTGTTTCACCAGCCAAGGCATTAAATACATATTATGAAGCTGTAGCTTGTTTGGTACAGAAAAGCAGGATTGAATCTGAAGGTTATTTCGGTAAAGAACCAAGTGTCATCAGTGTTTCTTTCACAAAACAGCAAATTGATTGGCTTTTTTCAAATAATTATTCTTGGGCAATTGCCTTTTCTCAGTTTTTTAGGTCAAACTGATAATTAGTTTCCAGCTGATCAATTGTTACAATTCGCCCAAATGCATTCATTTATATCTCCTAAGGTTGTGATGAAAGATCCTATAAGAGATGCTATGCTAGTTTTTACTGATGGTTCCTCCAATGGGAGAGCTACTTATGTTATCAATGGCAAAAGTTACATAGTTCAAACAACCCCAGCTTCAGTGCAGATAGCAGAATTGAGAGCGGTAACTACAGCTTTTCAGTTTCTTGTAGACAGTTAATTTAATTTACATACAGATAATCATTATATTTATAGAGCTCTTCAAGTTATAGAAACTGTTCTATGCATTGTGACTAGTAACACTCAGGTTAAGAGGCTGTTTTAACAAATTCAAGATGCTGTTCACCAAAGAAAGCTACCATGCTTTGTGGGTCACATTAGAACTCATTCCAATCTTTCTGGCCCTTTAGCTGATAGTAATGTGTCAGCTGACAAATTAGCATGATGATCACCTTATCCTAAGTAGAATTAGCTCAACAGTCACATGCTTTTTATCATCAAAACAGCAAAAGTCTAAGAAAGCAATTTAGTCTTACTAAAGAGGTTGCTCGATAGATAGGTAAACAATGTGTGGTGTGTCCAAAGTATTTTCCTATACCTCACTTAGTGGTAAACCCTCAAGGCCTTCTTCCTAATCATTTATGGCAAATGGATGTCACTCATATTGTAGAATTTGGCAAATTAAAATATGTACATGTGACCATTGACACTTATTCAGGATTTTTAATGGCCAGAGCACAGTCTGGAGAAGCTACAAAGCATGTGATTGCTCATTGCCTGAAATGTTCCTCCTATATGGGGATACAAAATATTATTAAAACTAATAATAGTTATGGATATAGTAGTAAAGCATTTCAGCAATTTTGTTCCCAATGGCAAACTGAGCATAAAATAGGCATTCCTTATAATCCTCAAGGACAAGGCATCATTGAAAACACCCATGGCAGTCTCAAGATGCAGCTTCAAAAAACTGAGAGTGGGGAATTGCACCCTCAGTCACCACATAATGCACTGAATCATACTCTTTTCATTCTGAATTTTTTGAATGTGGATGTCCGTAAGCAATCTACTGTGGATAGATTTTGGCATGATGGCACCCGAGTGACTGTTCAGGTGAAATGGAAATATCCTTGCTCAGGATTATGGAAGGGTCCCGACTCTGTTTTAATACAGGATTGAAGGCATGTTTGTGCTTTTTCACAAGATGAAAATGAAGTTCCATGGCTGCCTGAGCACTTGGTGCGGTGAGTGGAACAGAGGAATGTCAGCTCTGATGACACCATAGCTGCTGATGCTCCTCCAGAGGAGTTGGAGTGAGAGCAGCTGAATCAGTGTTCTTGATCCACTGATGTTCTATCCTGCGGTCCGGGGAAAGCAGGAGACTAAGGAATGCCATCCCCCCAGACTGCTGAGAAGGAGTTTGGGATAAAGGTTTTGTCACTATTTGGTATTCAAGGACTGAGACTGTGAAAGCTAGAATGTAAATGGAGCCCAGAGCCACACCACTTCTGGTTGCTAGCAGCAAACCACAGTGTGGCTCCTTTAAGAGACAGTTTTCTGACTCCTACTAGCTGAGCAGAAAGCTTTTCAAAGAGTTTTACAGCCGCTCAGTACAATAACTCCACCTGCACCCTAGGGTAGCTCTCCTAGGGAAGGCTACTGAAAAACGCAGAGACTTGTTTGGACTGGGTTGTTGCACTGCAACAAGCTTTGGCAATGGGACCACTATACAAAGACCCCAGAGACACTGATGATTTAGGCTCTGATTTCAAACTTTCAGGGGAACTTTAAAACTGCTGTCAGAACTGACTTTGAACTTCAAACTTCAGAAATGTAGCAGTTTTTTATTTCACCTACAATTTTAACTGTTGTGACTCATGATTCATGTACCCTCTGTCCTGTTAGAAGAAAATATAAGCAGTTCTGTTAAGAGATCACTTTCAGATGTTTGCTAAAGTTTGTAAAGTGTAAGTAGTCCTATTGAGAGTTTGCTTTTGGATGTAAGTTTGTAAGAATTGTAAATATGTATAGTAATATTCATGCTAGAATTATGTTAACCTGTTGATATTGATGAACTGTGGTTTGGTGAAGCTAAGGGAGTCTTTAGGTTTGATGTGGTTGCATCAGGAGTTTACAGATTTATTCGATGCAGTTGCATCAAGAGTTTATTGATTTAAAAAAGGGCTTGGTGCAGCTGAGGCTGATATAGATATCTTAGACCCATTCAAAGAGGACATTCCATCTCAGTCATCCTCTACTTCTTTACTGGGAGGTGTGGCAGCCATAGGGATTGCTGTGGTTGTTCCAGCTACTTGCAAACTCCTAGTGGGGACCTGATTTAGAGTTGCAGAGTTAAGCTTTGTATTTTGCCCTGCCAGAGGCTGGTAGTCAGAGATGGATAAGTCCTTCTTGCTAGCTGTCAACCTAAGACAGAGTACACTTGACAGAAAGTGTATCTCCATGATGGGTAAGGCCAATTAATGAAAAAGAAAATGACCTAAGACAGACACAGTCTATCTGAGGGGTCTGAGGGGCCCTTTAAAATATGAAGAAGGGGGAGCTGTGGAGACTCATAGAGGTTTCCTAGTGAGAACTTACTCAGGGTCCAAGAATCTGAGCTTGCTTTACCCAGCAGGACTGCTTAAGGGGATGATTTGACCACTGGTGTAGTTACTAGATGTTTGGAAAGGTCTACACTTGGCTGTGCAATGTGCTTTAATCTAGCAAGGGGGAGGTCTTTTACCTCGTCCCTTGGCATTATTATAAAAAGCCCTTTCAAATAAATGGAAAAGGCCATTGGGTATTGACCCAGGTCCTCCCGAAGCTGTCCTATGTTTCTGTCTTTCTCCTCTTTGCTATCTTTCTATCTAATATTTTATTATCCCTCTCTCCTCCTTTTTAGAACCCTTGAAAAGGTGGGAGCTGGCTTCCCACAGCCTGAGATGAGAGTTATTGGGACTATAGTTGAGTTGTCAGAAAGCAGAAGAAACTCAGGATTTCCATGAACTTACTACTAGTCTGGTCACCTATACTTCTGATAACTGCTCCACTTACTTGTTCTTCCATTCCCTTGTTCACTAGCTTCATACTGTCCACTTTTGGTACTGACTGTGACACTATACAGGCGTCCAGGGATGAGCTGAACAAATACACACTCGTTTTCTGACTTCGGAACGATTTTGGTTTGAACGAAGCTGTTTTTGTTTTTGATGGTGACTTCATAGTGGTCGAAGTCTCCGGTGGCATGGACCCAGGACACCTTTAAGTAGTCACTCCTGGCAGAGTTGCTGACGCTGATTCCCTGGACTTTGTCAGGCACTGGAAAAGGTAACAATGAAAGCTTGAGTGGTTCTGGGAGAGCAGCTGATCAATGATACCAACCTGAGACAATAAAACAAACAAGCTAGTTTTTATTGCGTGCATTTAAAAGAAGAATCTCAGACCTGTACATCACAAAGGGGAAATGTGGTTATGTTACTTAAAATGACCTGTTAGCAAAACCTGATGAATACATTCTAATCTAATAATGACCAACAGAATGTCTCTTATTCGATGAAACATTAAAATAATAACTAGTGCCTAATATGAAGGATGGTGCAGATGTTAATGACCATGGCATATCTGGGTGGCTCAAGTTACCAAGAAAAAGAGGAAACTTGTATGACTACATATATAAAGAGATGTTATGAGTCACTAGTCACCAAAGAAACTCAAACCCAGACCCCAGTGCAATGATATTCTGTTTTCCTTGGGCAAAATAGAAAACTGGACCCAGCCAGCTATGGGAGAAGATGTCTTTCATGTCCTTCCACAGAGATTACATATTGAACTGTTGTGTGTACACAGTGAACTATCACACAGTTCTCACCATTCATTTCTTATGAACTTGAAACACAGACATTTGGGTCTCTTGCTTTTCATATCAAAATATGAACTGTGAGTGAATCTAAGCAACACAATGATAATTTTGAAAAATTCAAGTCCCCGAAAGATTACATACTTCTTCCATACATAAAATGCCTTCTTACGTTAAAACAACTGAGAAATTAAAGCCTTATTAAACTAGGACCGTACATAAGTAAGCTATGCAAGAAAGAGATGAGCATGATGAGTCAGGACGTTGGCTATCGTGGGATGGATTAGTCAGGCATGAACCATGTGATTGGATACAGATTAATGTCAACGTCCTAGCTAGCTTTTTATTTTAGGCAGCGGTTTCTCATGCCATTTTAAATTCATAAAAATTACTAGCGAGATGCCTAGAAAAATCAAAGTGTCAACTGACGTGGTTTTTTTTTGAAGCAAGAACTATGACTAATGCTATTTTGTCAACCTGAGTCTCTTTCCAATAGATATATAAACAAACGATTCCATGGGCCGATGTTTTCCTTCTCCATGAATAGGAGAATGCATTTTACTAGGAACACTGCAAAATGCAGCTGTTCTGGTGTTAAAAGGATGGTCTACTTTTCAATTTAGGGCTGAGTTTTGATTCAAGAATAAATGACAAATCCTCTTTCTCTTGTGTGTGGGGTGTAGATACATGTCACATGGTGTGTGTGTGTGTGTGTGTGTATGTGTGTGTGTGTGTGTGTGTGTGTGTGTGTGTGTGTGCTTGAGCAAATGTAGAAGCCAGAGATTAGAATGTTCCTTGACTGTTCTCCACCTTATTTTTTGAGAGAGGCTCAGTCTCTGAACCTAGAACTTGTCAATCTGGCTGGGCTGGCTGGCCAATTAGCTCCTATCTGCTTGTCTCTGCCTCCCCCAGCCCAGGCCCAAAGTTCGACTGTCACAGATGTGTGGCACCATGCCAAGCTTTTATGTGGGTGCTAGACATCCAAACTCAGGTCCTCATGCTTGCGTGGCAGTCATTCTGCGACTGAGCCATCTCTGCCCCCGTGTCTACTTCTATTTGATTAGAAGCAGACATGGATATTCACAGGGGGAAGCATTGACAAGAGGCCTGGACTTGATCCGGAGCACCAAGCCTCTCTTCCAATTAGCTGTTTTTTTTTTTTTTTGTTTTTTTTTTTAGCTCCTTTGAACACCTCTAGGCCTGTAGGAGTTGGGTTTACGTCACAGGATGTCTGCTCTGGCATATGCCAAGCCCATGTCCTTTTCTTTTACTTTCTCCCAAATCATAAAACAGCCAGAAACTCCATCATTTTTGGCACTTGAACCCCTTTTTTTTTAATGATGCTTTTATACAGGTTGTATTGATATCTTCTGTTGAATTATATTTACTGATCGGCTTTATATTAGAACAGAGCACAGCACAGGTCTGGAACAAAGACAGGGCTTTACCTGAGACCAGTTAGAGTTCTGTCAGCATTTAGCCATCGCAGGGATGAGAAATTCTGAAATGGCACCGTAGGCACAGACTAAGAATGGTCGGTGATCTTGACAACTTACTGAAGGCAAAGCAATTACTACAGGAAGGAGAAGTAGCCGAGCATGGTGCTAAGTCAATAAAGGTCTCTGCAGGTGGAACTGGAAGTCATTTGTGAGAACTGTCTTAATGCACGGTGAGAGGATGTAACACAGGATTAGAAACATTGGTCTGTTCGCCCACATGGAGGAGAAGAGCATTAGAAACGTTAAAGAGCATTAAGACAGCCAGCCCAAATCAGCCCTGCAGCAACTCAGACACGAGCCTCCTGTTAGAGTCACTGGCCTCTGTCAGTCAGGCACAAAATCCAAGTTCACACTGTTCAAGAGTCAAGATGCTGTTTTGAGCAGAAAATAGCTTTTCTCACATTTGGGAAAATCTTAGCAAAAGGCCTTGCAATATTAGAGTCATGTGGATAGAGAATTCTAGTGAGGTGGGTGGACAGGAAGTCGCAGACTGGTAGTTAGGAGACATAACCTTAATTTCTAGTCAGTTTTAGGCCTCGAGTTGATCAATATGATGCTCAATAAGGCTACTCTGGGAGTGAAAATTGGCTCTTCAGGTCTAAGTCACAGCTGTAATTATTGGTATAATTAAACTTTAGGTTATTTGGTGGTAGAGAAAAATCTCTGTTCCCTAATAGTGCTTCTAAGTCTGGTTTGATGTAATAGCTGAACTTTGCTACAGTAGAGACACGTGACCTTGGAAAAGCCACACTTGGTTTCTGGGATTTTCATGATCTCCAATAAGAAGCTAGAAGGACCATTTCAATGGCAGCATTCTGTAACCATGCAAGCAGGTGGCTCTTAACTGGGGACAGGAGGCACAAAGTCTATGAGATAGAAAGCTATGTACTTCATCCTCAAAGACGCAGGGGCTACAGTGATGGCTAAGAGGTCAAGAGTGCTTACTGTTCTTACCGAGGACCTGAATTTGTTTCCCAGCACTGGTACCAGCTGACTCACAACCACTCCCAACTCCAGCTCCAGGGGATTTGACACCCTCTACTAGACTTCATGAGCACCTGCACTCATGTGCATATATCCACGCAAAGACACACATAATTCAAAAATACTGAAAAGAAGCATTAAAAGAAATTGCCGACCCTTTCTTACTCCTCACAACTTTATGGGTTGCTATGTTTCTAGGGTCTTCTTGTGGGCAATTGGGTGGAAACCCTTGATTCTGATTGTTCATCTCCCAGGAAGGCACCAAGTTCCTACTTAGCCGCAGCATCTAGGCTCACTAACAGGATGACGTCATTGTCCCAGATGATCATGGGAAAAGAATAGTTTCAGGTGCAAGAGTCAACCCAGAGTCCAGTGGGAAAGACTTGACAAAACATTGATGTCAACCTTGAGCAGAAATTTCAGAAGTAAACCCCAGAAAAGTGTAAATGCATCGGGAAAAACGGTGACTGTCTATACTTAGTTCCTTCCGGCACATCAAAGACCTGTCGTTCATCTGCTAAGAATTTTGCTCCCTAGTCTAGGAACTATAAAGAGTACCATTTTTACCTTGTGTGCAAAGGAGGCACAGTAGTCTTGACTGACACGTATTTTGGGAAAGACTATAGAGCTGAGAGTTTTGTAGGCTCTGGAGTGAATCAGACCTAAGTTTAAAGCCAAGATCTAAAACATCCTAGGTGCTCAACAACAGTAATAAACAGTTGGGCAAATGACTTAACTTTCTTTTTTTTTTCATTTTTCTTTTTTTAAAATTTATGTGCATTGGTGTTTTGCCTCAATGTATATCTGTATGAGGGTGTTGGGTACCCTGGAACTGGAGTTGCAGACAGGTGTGAGCTGCCATGTGGATGCTGGGAATTGAACTCGGGTCCTCTGGAAGAACAGCCAGTGCTCTTAATCACTGAGCCATCTCTCTAGTCCCTGACTTAATCTTCTTAACACTTGGTTTCCTAATCTGTAACATAGGAATAATAATGATTATCTCAGAAAGGACTGTGTAAGGATTAGTTAGTATATATGAACCCATGTCCCAGTACTCAAAGAACACTCCCCAAACAGAAATATTTATTGTCCTACTTAAATATAATATGTGTTCTGGCTATGAAAGCTAGGGCAATCTTCCTGTAAATGTAACATATTGAGGGTTTTTTTTTTTTCAGTTAAAATAGAAAGACTCAGGAGCAATTTTGTGATGTTGACTGCCTTTTATCCAGGACCACTGCAGGTCCATGATGCTCAGAACCACACAGAACTGCTCTGTGTCTGTAGAGCCCTGTACCCTCACAATTCTTACCTGTCCGTTCTTCGCTGAAGGCGTGACTTGCGTAATCGCCACTCCTGGTGGTTATGGTCACATTGTAGAGGCGGCCTGGGGTGAGGGAGCTGAAGGAACACTCACTCACAGACTTGGCAATGATGAGGGACTGAACCACCTTGCCATCATGGGAGAGGGTCACCACATAGTTATCCACATCTCCAGGCGCTGGCAGCCAGGAAACACTGAGGTAATCATTACGGCCAGAGTTGTTGACTGTTACTCCACTCACACTGGAAGGGACTGTGGGTTCAAAAAAGAGGAAGAATTGTCAGAGAAAACGGAATCAGAAATCTGAGTTAACTATTGTGCTCAATGAAAACTTAGACCGGGAGGTCTGAGTTGATCCAGGGAGTTAAGGAGGTACCAGGATCTCTAGGGGCTTTGGGAAGACAAACCATCTTTCACCAGAAGGCTAATGGAAAAAAACCAACCAACCAACAAAAACCTCACAAGGAAGCCTTTTAGACGCCTCATAACCCAAGCATGCTGCCACTGTGACTACGGGGTGTCTGTGTAGGGAGTGTTTTAGGAGGCATTTTATGGGAGTATACTGGGAGGGTCTTGGTGGGAAAGGGAACACAGATTTTAACAGTCCAAATTAATCACTTTGAACCAAACTCATTAAAACAAAAGCCAAACAGACAAAAACAAAGATACTTGAGAGTAAAGGAGAAAAATTCCTCGGATTTTCTGAAGAACTTAGACTCTGGGTTGCCTTTGACTTTCATGTGACCAGGTTTTTTGTTTGTTTGTTTGTTTTATTCCTGGGGCGTTTAATACAAAGTTCACCTGGAGGCTCTATCCCTTTGTAAAGCATTTTCTGCCCTCTAGTGGCCAGAAGCCTAAAAGCACATCCTGGAAGCCTGTCTATCTGTAGACTGGGCAGAGGAAGCTACAGCCGGGAAAACCATCTTTCTGAGGTCAGACATGATTATCCTTTGCTTGTATTAGTTAGAGATCAACACCACAAACATTTGCCAAGAAATGTCAAATACTTTCCAGGTATATAAACTTGGAACAGACAGAGATAGATGGCTTAAGTTACAAGTTGAAAATGAGAGATTAGTAACTGGGGTATTGAGTAAGAAGTTCATTATGTATTGGAGATATGTATCTAGTTCATAGTACTGCCTTTGGTGATGGTAAACTGAACTCTTACAGCGCACATAGTCTGCCCTGATGTGTTCATCACGGGTTGTTTAACTTTTAGCTGGCCATTTTCACATCATTGTCAGGGCTACTGCATTGCACATAAAAGACAGGGTTTGACTTGGTGAAACCTGAGTGTCCTTATAATCTAATATGCCCAAAGTCCATCTTACACACAATAGATGAGCTGTCCATATGCTATTTAGAAAAGATAGAATTATCAGGAGTTTTCTCCACCAAAGTACTCACTTGATTAAGATGAAATAGATACAAAAGTTATTTGGTATTTCTCTAGAATGAATATTTCCTCAAATTGGGATTAGATTGCACAAATATCTCATATATATATATATATATATATATATATATATATATATATATATATATATGTTTTTTGAAACAGGGTTTCTCTGTGTAGTTTTAGTGCCTGTCCTGGATTTTGCTCTGTAGACCAGGCTGGCCTCGAACTCACAGAGATCCTCCTGGCTCTGCCTCCCAAGTGTTGGGATTAAAGGCGTGCGCCACTACCGCCGGCCAAATAGTTGATATTTTAAATTTCAGTTCCTGTCTTTTTATCTAGGCTGGAGAGGTTTTTGTGTGCCTGCTTCAACTCTGTGGAAGCTTGTGTGAGGTCTAAGAAGACTTTTCAAAATTATTTGGATACTGAGAAACATATCAAGTATTTGAAGAAATGCTAATGGTTATCATTATAGCTTTGGCCATTGAGTTATTTTATAATGTGCTGTATAAAAATTGTAATAATCTAGGAAGTTTCTGAAATCCTTAGTCATTGTGTGTATACAGTAGTATTCTATTGTCCCTTTCTCAGGACAACAGTTGAATTAACATACCTATATTCATTCATAATTTTTGTTCTCAAAATTTTATAATTATCCTTCATAGACTTTCTCATACACTTTATGAATGCTTCTTTTGTGTATCATGGACCAAATAGTGATATTTCTGATTATGCTTAAAATACAGGAATAAAAATGATTTATAAAATAAAGTCTCATTATTCCCAATATTCACTGATTTCAAGTGATATCAGTCAGATACTATACTACTTTGGTACATTATAATGGGTTGGATAGCCCTTGTGGTATATTTATTAGTATTGTGGTAATTTTTTTCTTTTGGTGGTACTGGGATTGAACCCAAGGTTTTGTGTATGGGAAACAAATGCTCTATCCCTAGGTCCATTCCCAGCTCTTTGTGATGTTTAAAATAGAAATTAACCTGGGACAGAGTGTGACTAGCTCATCAACTGCTTCCTTTCCTCTTAAAACTCATCTAGACCACATTTCTCAGCTTCCCCTACAGTCAGATGTAACTAGCCACAGCCATGCAACAGTTTCGTTAAGTGGAATGTGGGTGGAAAAGACACCTCCGCTTCCAGGTCTACTAATCTCTTCCGGGCCATGTCTGATCTCTACCTTTATTCTCTGCAGAGGTGGAAAGAGCTGTGAGAATCTGGAGGAAGGAAACCGTCAGGTAGTAGGAGCCTGGATCCCTGATTTCTACTTGGAGGAGAATCAATCGATAGAGTTGTCTAGTCAGGAGCAACCACATTGCACTGTTGTGCAGCAAGACAAGTCGGTCTAACCAGACTTAACACAGGCTGCAACTCACTGGAAGATCGATGCAAAGGCCTTCCCAGCTTTTCAGTCCTCACCCCAACTATACTACACTGAATCATGGTGCCAGTAACTCTCACCAGAGAAGAAAGAAGGTATCAAGAAAGACACAGGTGTCTTTCCTAAGCCTAGTGCCACAGAAAGAGAGCACTGGTATACATCAGTGAATTTCTATTAAGACCAAGAGACATGCATTCAGTTTCTTAGCTGCTCCTCTGAAAATTAATGCAAGCAGTTAATTAAGTAGGTGAGATTGGTGATTTTGGGAAAGAGATTTTTCCATGACACCACAACCGATAATTAGTATCTGAGTACTGGGTTTATAGAGAAGCCTGAATCCAACTTATAATAATTATATAAAACGAAGAGGTCAAGGTTATTGAACTGATTCTGAGTTTAACCATCCATCACTATCAAAGCTTCAATTGGGTTTGTGTATTTTTTTTCCCTCAGAAACTGGAACATAAATTTCATATAATATATGAAATAATACGTTATTACTTTTATGCGCTTTCAATGTATGATGTAGAAAAATTCCACTTGCTTTTTGGGCGCTGAGCTTCTCTGACACAGTAACCATAACGATCCTTACTTGTCATCTTAGCTCACAGTTTTATTTGACAAGGAACACTAGAGGCCAGGAGCTTTTTTTTTTTTTTTTTTTTTGGGTGGCATTCAGCCCTCAGCATTTGATGACGTTGCTTACAAAATATATATGTGACTGTTACAGGAGGGCAGCCGTGTATTCCTGTTGTCCTAACTATTGGAAAGTCTGAGCCAGAGAGTTCAGATCCAACCTACGCAACATAGGAAGATTCTAGATATGCCACTTGAGAATTACATCAATTCAGCTTTGACCGTGTGAAGTGGCTATCATCTCGCTTCTCTGTCTTGAAAATAAGGCTCTGTGCATGGAAGATAGTTCATTACTTGTTTAACTTTAAATGGAAAAAACAAAACAGTTTCAAAGGTAACCAACCCAAGAGTAGGGCTAAGTTCAGGCACCAGCGGTTACCATGCCTTGAAATGTTTTTCTGGCTTTGATGTGGTTATTGGAAATACAGGAAAGTTGAGTATTCTCTCTTGTCCTCCTGCCTCAGCCAATTTTCCATACCATGTACCTCTGTGTGTAAGGAAACCTGGCTTTTGGGAAGGAAGGACACAGAGAGGCCTGATTTTAGGATGTTTAAAAACTTCCTGTTGGAGGCAGCTCCTCCACGTACTGTTGTATCTGGAAGTTGCAAACACGCATCTGCATTTCTTACCTGTTCTTCCTTCCGCCACCACCTGTCGGGAAGAGATGCCTCCGCTCACCGTGGTCACCACCACCGAGTAGAGGCTGCCGGATTTCAGGGCGTGGAAACTGTATCTGCTGGTCTCACTGGAGACGCTCTCGTTTTTGATGACCACATTTTCATGGATCAGTAACACTTGGTAGAACTCTACATCTCCTAAGGCCTTTGTCCAGTTAGTGAAAAGACTACTGGCCATCCCTCGGTTGGTAACATGCAAGTCAGTCACTTGGGCAGGCACTAAAAGGCAGTAGAAAGAAGATAAAAAATCATTACGCTCCGTCACTCCAAGGTAGGATAAGAATGGGGAGTCAAAATGGAGACAGACTAAAGTACTATGGATAAAAAACATGGTTGTTTTTGTTTGTTTGTTTGTTTTTGTTTTTGTTTTTTGGCATGGGCTTTTCACCCTGTTTCTTGTGGCATATGGACATTTATTTCTCTACAGGGTTCAATCACTTCAACCAGCTGTTTATTCAACAACTTTCGATCAAAGTCAGTTAAGGTCTCATAATGAGACGATGATGCTTCTTAATGAGCTTTGGCTTTGAAGTTTACATAACCAAGGCTGCTTTGTTTTTTTTTTTTTTTTTGTTTTTTGTTTTTCGAGACAGGGTTTCTCTGTGTAGCTTTGCGCCTTTCCTGGAACTCGCTTTGGAGACCAGGCTGGCCTCGAACTCACAGAGATCCGCCTGGCTCTGCCTCCCGAGTGCTGGGATTAAAGGCGTGCGCCACCACCGCCCGGCTAAGGCTGCTTTGTTAGAGAACCTTTTTATTTAATATGATCTTATCCATGCTTATTCTATAAGAACACAAAACCATGTAATCCACCAGAGCCAATGACTGTTATAGGCTGGCAATGGGAAATTCCTTCAAGCTGGTAGTCAGGTTATGGTCTAACAAGTTAGTTACTTCCTTATAAGTATGTTCTCCAAAGGGCTATTGTTATTGTTCATGAAAATGCCATAATAATATAGGCTATAGAATATATAAAATAGTAACGACAATTATATTAAGGAGTGAATGCCTACTACCTTTCAGTTAGAGCAGAAGGCATTTTAGAGGTTATATTATCTGATATGCATGTCTATAAAGTTGATTTCATATTTCTTTTACTAATGAGGAAACCAAAGATCATAGAATATAGGCTTTCTAGCCTACACCACAGCTTGATAAATAACCAGCCAGGTATCCAAGCTAGGGCTTTCTCACCTCTAAGCCTGTGACCTTTTTCTAAATTATCAACTATGGCCACTTCCAACCCATCCATCAGCTGATGGTCACAGATACTGAAGCTGGTTCTCTTCGTGCTTCTTTCTTAACTTACAATAATCAGAGCTTCAGCAGACCCCCTTCACAAAGTTCATTAACCTTTGTATTAAGACACAAACATGTTGGCCGAAAGTGTTACCATACATAGATCCTTAGAACCATCTGATTCAAAAATTTTTTTTTTTTTTGGTTTTTCGAGACAGGGTTTCTCTGTGTAGCTTTGCGCCTTTCCTGGAACTCACTTGGTAGCCCAGGCTGGCCTCGAACTCACAGAGATCCGCCTGGCTCTGCCTCCCGAGTGCTGGGATTAAAGGCGTGCGCCACCACTGCCCGGCTTGATTCAAAAATTTATATGGGAAGTAAAGGGACATAATTACCAAAACAGTTAAAACAAAATAAAACAAAACCTCAAAAGCCCCACTAATCACAGAAATGAAGTTGAAAGACAAATATCGGGTAATTTTACCAGAAAGTCATAGTAATCAGGACAGTATAAATAAAACTGGCAAAGGACAGATAGACAGACAGACAGACAGATAAGGGGATGGAAAAGAATGGGAAGTCCAGAAAAAGATCAATGGATACATACATATATAGTCTCTCCCTTTATATACATATATATGTATGTTTAGTTTGAACTGTTTTGATAATTATAGTTCCTTTACTTCTCATATGTGTATGCATATACATATGCACACACACATATATACATATACACATACATATATGTACTATACATATATGCATACATATATATGTACATATGCATCTTTATACATATACATATATGTGTATGTGTGTATAGATATGTATCTATGCATATAGATAAGTATGTGTATATGTGTGTATATGCATATATATGTATATATATATAGACTATATATATAGCTAATTTTTAGAAAGATTCATAGACAATTTCGTGAAGAAGGATAGCATTTCAACAAATATCTCTGGAATTATTAGATGTGCATATGAAAAAGGAAACCTTGACCTATATTAATATTAAATGCTATGTTAATATGAAAATGTTAAATATAAATTAATTAAAATGTAATACAAGAATGGTTTGTAGGCCTACAGCGTAAGTCTGAGCTCTAAATATTCCAGGGAAGAGTCTCTGTGACCCTTTGTTAGGTGGAGTTTTCGAGTGTGCTACCAAAAGCACTGTCTATGAACGACCAAATTCCAGACGTCAAAATTAAGCACCACCACTCACCAAAACACACTAAATTCAATAGTAAGAAAATGAGCCCCACACGGGAAGAAAACATTTTCAACACAGTGTTTCCAAATTGTGTATAAGAATCAAGAAATCTCAAAACTTTTGTTTGTGGGGCTGGAGCGATTGGCTCCGTGGGTGAAGCCTGAGGACCGGAGCGAGCAGGGATCCTGGAACCCATGTAAAAACCAGGATCTTGGCACTCGGAAGGCAGAGGCAGAGTTCAAGGCCAGCCTGATCTATAGAACGAGATCCAGAACAGGCACCAAAACTACACGGGGAAACACTGTCTCGACAAACCAAACCAAACAAACAAAAAACCAAACAACAACAACAACAAAAAACCCAAAACAAAAACAAACAACAACAACAAAAACCAGGCGTGGTACTGCGCACTGTGATGGTCTCTGGCCGGCCGGGCCAGCTGAAGCTGTGAGCTTCAGTTTCACGGAACATTAAGGTGCCGGCTGGTGGGGCGGCTCAGTAGGTTAAGGCACTTGCTGGCAAGCCTGACGACTTGCGTTCCATCCCTGGGGCTCACGGGGCAGGAGGGGAGAGCACCGACTCCCACACATTGTCTCCTGATCACCTCACATGTGCAGCGGCATGTGTCTCTGCCCACATACTCACCAAGAAAAACAAACAAACCAATGTAATTTAAAAAAAAAAAAAAACAAACTAGAAAAAAAATGCAAGATGACAGCCTGATATTAACCTCTGGACTCCACACAGTCACTCATGTGTGTGAGTGTACCGGCTTACACATGCATACACCACATACCCATCTGTTTGCTAAGAAAACAAACAATGGTATTGAACAATGAGCGAAACATCGGACTGTAAACTTTTCCAAAGGAGACAATAGTGAAAAGGCATAGGAAAGGATTCTCAAGCCGTTAGATGTCACACCTACCGGAATGGCTTAATTTTAAGATAAAGAGACACACAGACAGACACAAGACCACGTGCTGTCTGGAGCTCTCATACATTGTTTATAGAAGTGTAAAATGTAATAATCCACCTGGGCATGATATGCCTATAGTCCCAGCTACCTAATGGGGTGGCCAAGACAGAAAGCTCTCTTGAACCCACAAGTTTGAGGCTAGCCTGGGCACCATAATGAGACCCCCCACTTCAAAACATAAGAAAATAAATGCTTTAATTGCCGCAGGAAAGAGACCAACATTTCCCTGCAAAGTTAAACAAATACTATATTACACTTACAATATCACCCAACAATATGAGCAATAGGAGTGATGAAAATATTAGGGTCTAAAACAATGCCTTGGGCTTTCGTTTGCAGCTTTATGCTAGACTATTTGCCATGAAAAAAAAATCACTCCAATAAACGGATCCCACATATTGGATGAAAAATAAAACAAGAATGTCAGGAACATATAAGGCATTCTCAGAGGCTGGTAAGTAAGCGGCTGGCCACTGAAGAACTGAAGCCAACCGTTGCCTTAGGCGAATGTTTCAGACATGAATTCACCCTTTGGTTTTTACAGCACTGGGGGATCCTGGGGATGGGAGGTAAAGTGTAAGACTCTCTCAGGCTGAGAGAGCTGATGGCTGAGCCTACATAGAATTACATCCTGTGAGACTATTCCTTCTCTACTTCCCACACCACGGCAGCCTTCTTAGCATCTACGGGAGAAAACCATTTCCTTTGAGATTTTTTTTTCTTTTAGATTTTATGACTTTATATGTGCTGGGACATGTCTCTGCCACGGATCTAAAGCCCAAACCTTCTTGAGCATTCTTAACCTTGAGATTTTTTCCATGTGCGTACAACTGGAAATCCCCCATGTGGGTGCTCAAACCCGCCCCACCCCCATCCCCATCGGCTAATTAAGTTAAGCTAGGTCTGAGTTGACAGCGGTCCTGGGTACATGGAAGAATCAAATGAAAATTCTCTCTGAAATGCATCTTCGAACAAAGTCTTAGAGAATTGTCATAAAATAAGATTCCCAGGAATATAAGCTTACAGAGAGAGAGAGAGAGAGAGAGAGAGAGAGAGAGAGAGACATTTAAAGGAATAAAGCAATATGAGCAAAGAGCAGCAAAAATCAACAGACAATATTCTTTGACTGCTGAGGAGTTCAGATTTCAGTATAATGATGGACAAAATGCAAAACAAACATGTACATTTACATATAGTTATTAAAGAGTACAACTAAAACATATATCTTGTTCAATGTGTGTATGTGAGTGTATGTATACGTTTAACTAAAGGGCAAAATAACATATATAGATAGAATAACATATATAGATAGGAGAAAACCAAAGAGACTATTAAAAAGTGAACAGAAATGTAACCGAATTTAATAGATCAGAGAGAGCTGGAAAAAGAATTCATGAGTGAAACACACAGCTGAAGAAATCATGCAGACTGCAGGCCAGGAAGCAAAGATGTGGAACTGTGAAGCTTGTGTGTGTCTCTGTGCTACAGATGGGGAATGGAAAGGAGGCCAGAGACGACGGTACTGGAGGGCCAATAGCTGAACATTTCCAGGACTGAGAAAAGGCAGTAAGCCAAAAGAACAGAAGTCCCAACAAATCTCAGGTAAAGGAGCAAAAGGATTTCTGTACCGGTCTCTCCTCTGAAACTGCAGATCCCCAGAGGTAAAGGGGGCGGGGCTTAGAGCAGCCACCTTAAAGGGACTTCTCATGGGAAAGTAAGAAGTAGACTGGAAGCCTGCTTTCCAACAGAGACAGTAAGTACCAGAGAAAGTAGAAAAAAACTTCCAGTGTCCTGACAGAAAATATCTCGCAGCACAAGACAAAAGCATAGGAAACTGCTTTGCAAAACTGACAGCTACATAAGGACACACACACACACACACACACACACACACACACACACACACACACACACCAGAAGTGGAGAGAGTTTGTCCCTGGGACTCTTCAATAAAGAACTTAAAGACTATCTTTCAGGATGAAGGACCACCCTCTCACTTGGAATTTCTGAGACAGGAAAGAAAGACAGACAGGTGGTTAAGTTGGAAGAAGAGCTAAACAGAAAGAGCATGACTCCAGAAAGCCCTGTTTTGGGGAGGTACAATTTACAACGAGAAGTAAAAGGGCTGGAGAGAGGGCTCGGCAGTTTAGAACACTTGCTGCTCTTGGAGAGGACCTGGGTTTGCTTCCTAGCATCCACAGCCTGGCTCACAACTATCTGTAACACCAGTTCCTGGGGATAGGACATTCTCTTCCAGCCTTCGGAGGCACCAGGCACACATACATACATGCAAGCAAACACTCATACATACTATATATATATATATATATATATATATATATATATATGGTATGTATATATAGTATGTATATATATAGTATGTATATATATATATATATATATGCTGAAGAAAGAGGGAAGGGCGATACAGACTATCCAGAGCGTATACATTGCTAACACCAGTCTTGGTTGCTCCCCACATCGCTGAGAAAAGGACAGTAATTCTAAGAGCAGGGCTCAGCATTGCACCTGCTGGCATCAGTACTCAGGTACTTTCTCTCCCCGGTAACACTGAAGCTAAATTATCCATTCTCCTTCCTAAAGCCATTTCCCTCACTGTGCCCTAGATCCCATACTCCTCCCTGAGTGACACTTTCCCCCCTCCTGACAATATCAACATCCCCTTTTCCTTTATCTATTAGAATCAACGTAACATATCCTGCTTTTTTAAATAATTAAAAAATAATATTTTCTACCATACTCCCTATTTTCAATAATGCCCCATTTTCTGTTCTCTTTTGCAATAAAACTTCATGGCAAGGATATTCTCTACTGTATTCCGATTAGTAAAATATACCTAAGCAAAAGAAGAAACTTGGTAAGATAGAAAACACAATAGAAAGGATCCAATGTCACACCAAGTACATAATAGGAATACTAGGCACTTAATGGATATTTGCAAATTTCAGTGGATAGACCTTCATAAAAATGTAAAAATGGTGGCTATTATTACCCGTTCTTCCTCTTGTTGAAGATGACTGTTTTAAATCTCCACTCATACTGGTGACGGTAGCCTTGTAATTTCGTCCGGGGATCAGGTCCATAAAGGTGAATTCTTTGGCATCTTTGGAGAGTGATTTGTGGATGACTAAGAGGTCTCTGTCAGTCAGTGAAATGATGTATTTCTCCCATTCACCTGCGGGGGCCTGCCACGTGATGGCCAGTGATGTTTCGTTGGCATGTTTGACACGAAGCTGGAGGACAGCCAGGGGGACTGAGGGGGAAAAAAATCAATTGAGACTTAGGGTCACTGATTCAGTCACAGCCATTAGTAATTTTTAGAGACCATCTGTTCTGGTCTCTGCAGGAGTGGGGTGAGATCTTGACTCCTCAGCCATCTCTCCAGCTGTGAGAGTTTCTCTCTTCTCATGAATCCTTGTTTTGAAATCATTAAACAAAGTCCTGTGACCATAAAACTAAAATGAATAGACTATGCTTGAGTATTTCACTGGAGTGAGAAGTATTTCTTACTCTCAACGCTTAGAAAGACCAAGTGCTCTTCTATTTCTGAGAGGACCCTGCTCTGTCATGAAGAGGACAGCAACTGGAAAGGAATAATAATAACCTTAGGAAGGGCAGCCCTTATCTTAAAAGAATTTTAATTTCTTCCACTTTTAAAAGAATTTTAATTTCTTCCACTTCTTTAAAAGATGCTATCATCTAGAAGACATTGTTAACAGCAAAATATGGGACCCACAAAACAACAAGGAAGCAAAAATTTTTTCTTGTTCTTTTTTTTTTTTAAGAGGGTGCCTGGACTGGTCTACTCTAGCGAATACCCTAACTATCATTATAGAGCCTTTGTCCAGTGACTTATGGAAGCAGATGCAGAGATCCATGGCCAGGCACCAGGATGAGCTCCGGGAATCCAATTGATGAGAGAGAGGAGGGATTCTGCAGGCGGGGGACATGGAGATCATGATGGGAAGACGTGCAGAGATGACCGGCCACACTAGTGGAAGCCCACGAACTGTGGACTGGTGGCTGTGGAGCCCCTATGGGACTGGACTAGGTTCCCTGGTTATGGAAGACAGTTGTTTGGCTTGAACTGTTTAGGGAGCACCCAGGCAGGGGGATTGGGATTTGCCCTGGGTGCATGGGCAGGCTTCTGTGAATCCGGTGCCTGTGATGTGGCACCTTGCACAGCCTTGGTACAGTGGGAAGGGGCTTGGACCTCCCTAGGCTCAGTGTGCCGGGCTTTGCTGACTCCCCATGGGAGATCTTGATTTGGGGGATGTGGGGATGTGGGGTGGCTTGGGAGTGAGGGCTGGGAGATGGGAGGAGGAAGGAGGTGGGATCTGTGGGTGGTATGTAGAATGAGTAGAAAATTTCTTAATAAAGAAAAATGGGGGAAAAAAAAGACAGGGTTTCTTCGTGTAACAGTCCTGATTGTCCTGGAACTCCTTTTGTAGACCAGGCTAGCCTTGAACTCACAGAGATCCACCTGCCTTTGCCTCCCAAGTCCTGGTATTAAAGATGTGTGCCACCACTTCCCAGCTAGGGAAGCCAACTTTTAAAAGAGTTAATTGTATAAAACTACAATTTGACTTGAAATTTCCTCTTCTTTGTGGCCCAAGGTGGCCAGTGAGAATGGTTTGCTGTTAGGTGATATTTTGATCCTATTCTGACAATGAAGTTTGCTTTGAGTCATAGAGTGGAGTTAGTTTAGTTGACCCAAATTAACCATAGAGGTTTTGGAGGACTGAGGACAGATAAGAGACAGGAAGTAAGGAGGGCTGAGAGAGTATCTCAGCCCTTTTGGATGAAGGAACAATGGGAGAGATGGGAGGTCACTGGTGGCTTCTCCACAGCTTCTCTGATCATTCAGGTTCTTACTCCAATGTCTGACTCCCGATTTTGTATTGATAAAGAATAATCAGACAAATGTTTCACCTGTTTGCTATTTTAATAAACCAGAAAATCCTGGAAAGAATTGTGCAAATCAAGGTGTTCAATTTTTTTATATTCACTCTAAGGATATCTGTAAAACCACCCAGGCCATCAAGGGTATATGATTCTGAAAAAAAAAAAAAAAAAAAAAAACCAAGTATGTGAAAGATGTCACTTTAAAGAAGCAATGTGAGTCGTTGTAGCCATACAAATATGCAGGGTCCAGGCCAAACAACGGGGCAGGACACTGGGTCAACGGCCCCCAAAGAGTGTTGAATTGCTTTGCAGCTCATGTTTAGAAGTGCAGAGTGGGAGACAGTTCAGAGTTTTGCTGTAGATTCAGGCAAGCACAGACGATGCTCTGCTACATATGTAGTGCTCAGAGTCAGATTTCTGCACCCTCCAGCCACATGGACATGAAACTTATCAGGAAAGAACTAAACTAGGAGACCAGGTTGCACAGAAGAAACTGAAGAGAGAATATTGATTGTAATCTGAAAGCAAACTGAGCATGAAATAAAAAAAAAAAGTTGGAGGAGGAGTTCTCCAGAGAATTGTGCCAATGAGGCTGGACGCCAGTGTTTATTCACCTTACATTTCCAGATTGCTTGAAGTGATTGGCAAAAATGTTGGGGGGGGGTGACAAAGACACCTGTCCTGTGAGTAGTCGGGGTGTCTTGCTTATGCTGGCTATGTTTTTGATCATCATCCGACATTAATATTTGGAAAAGGGAAAGATCCCTGAAAGCTACGGTTGGTGAATTAAGAGGCTAACACAGTCATCCTGTTTGGCATTCTTTCTCATAAGAACACTGAGTCAGTGAAGTTATTTCTTTAGTAGGCAAGACAAAGAGAGATGAATTTCACTTCAAATATGGGCTGTTCTACATCCCAAAGGTCATCATAGAGACGTTGAACTTGGAAGGATAACTGTCATACTTGGAAGTTGAGAAGACAGGTTTTGGGGAGTGTGTGATCTGCCAAAGAAAATGCAATATAATGGTGACAGCGAAATGATCAAGATCCATGTGTCCTAACCTTCCCTTTCCTGTCATCCTATCACATCCCTTTCCATGTCAATCATTCTACCCCAGTACCAGAAATCCTTAAATAAGGCAATATTAGGACAAGGCATAGGACAAACACATTTTGGAAGGTCGGTCTTTAGTTTCAGATTGTGTCTTTCCTGTTGTTTTGTGATTTAAAATGTCTTTTCTTGGGGCTAGAGAGATAGCTCAGTGGTTAAACTGAGGACCTTGCACAGGACCTGGGTTCAGTTCCCAGCCCTCAGGTTTTACCAGGTCCTGTGGGGGCATTTTATAAGTTCCTGTTACTCTGGCTGTTTGGGATCTTCTGCCCTCTACTGGACTCAGGTGCACATAACCTACACAACCACCCCCACCCACCCACGCCCCGTGCCTCAGCACAGTTTAAAGATCATAAAAATACGTCTTTAAAATGTCTGTTCTTTCATGAAATAATGGAGTTACCAGTGGAAAAGAGGCCTGATGTTCAAATTTGACAAAATTAAATGTTTGAAACTCTGTTAGCTTCATAATATTTCACCTTGAGGGAGTACAGAAATACAAGCTCTGTGGTTATGTGATGCAGGGAATGAATTAATTTCTGTCCATCACAAACCCAATCATGTTTGTTTACCTGTCCTGCCTCGGCAGCGCTCAGAATTCCTCAGGTTTCCACTCTCAACAATGACTTCCACCTCATACTGTCTTCCTGGTATGAGCTCCACACCATCCATGACAAAGTGGGCTTCCTCCTTCCCCACAGTGGCGTTGAGCAGCGCCAAGGAGTCATTGAAGAGCAGGATACGATAGTGCTCCCAATCTCCAGCAGGGGGCGTCCAGTTCACGGCGAAGGACTTCATCCAAATCTCGTTGTATGAAACCAGATTCCTCACTTTTTCTGGAACTAAACAAGGATATGCCAAGAAGGTGTTGAAAACCCAAATTAAGAATATTCATTTTCTTTTTATGGGAAGCAATATATAAAGAACACACTGTCTGCTATTGTACACCCGTGTATCCCTTTCAGATATCTGTGTACCTCAGGTGAGGGACTCTCTTGCAACGCTGTTCACAGCCTAGAGATGTGATGCTGTTTTTCACTGCTTGTCTGCCAGCCCTGGAGATCATACTGACATTGCATCTCAAGGTGGGGACGGTGACAAATGTACCATCTTTTAAAAAAGATACTAGATGCTGTGGTCATGAAACATTCTCAATTTGTTTAATCGCAACTGGAAAGAACTAACTTCTTGCATTATGGTTTTAGGCATGTTTGAGTACAAACAACTCAGACTCTCTTCAAAAATGAACAAACGGAACCCCAGGTCCTTCATTTACATCCATGTCTCTTCAAGTTCCGAACTGTCCTCCTCCTAGACCGACCCTTGACTTCTCCCTGCAGCTACCCTCCCTCCTTCCCTGTCCCTTTTAGCGTGTTCGGGGGTGTGTGCTGCAGAACTGTGTCTCCCGAGCTCCTCCCGCTTCTGAGCCTTTGTTCCTGTCATTCATTCTCTCACAGACATCCCTTCTTTCCCCCTTTTATTTGCTGGGAAGTCTACACTTTCTAGGTTCCACTGCCAGGCCATTTCCACTAAGTGTCTACTGATCTTCTGAAGGGGAGTGTTGCTCTTGGTCCCTTCCAGCCATATAGCTCTTACTTGAGACCTCTAATGACACTGAGCTTGGACTCAAATTGAACACACCTGGCTTAAAGTCAAGCTCCAGAACCTTCTGGCCAGATGACCATGAACGAGTTATTCAATCACTCTAGTTTATCTGTACAATGTCTATACTAACAGCACAGCTCTTAGCTTACAGTTTTCTTTCAATAAATGCAAAGTGTTTATACAGGGCCTGACGTGAAATTACTAAGGCCATTAGCGTGTCTAAAGGGTTCTAGTGTGTGTGTGTGTGTGTGTGTGTGTGTGTGTGTGTGTGTGTGTGTTAGTCTTTGGTTAAAAGGCAACATCTATTAAACAAGGGTCAGCAAGCAAACCTTGACTGAACTACATACATGACCCTGGAAGGATCCTCTTTTCATTTAGAGAAATATAAAAACAAGCCACCAAGTGCGTTTGCCCACAGGGTGTACTTTGCAGACCCTTGTCTTAAAAGCCAGGGTACATCATGACCCCTTTAACAGTGTCCAAGGTTCGGAACCCAGTAATTTAGTCAAATAAAGAACAAGATAACCGTTCAGTGACATCAATTCATAAAACTATTTATGGGAAACACAGTTAAGTGCCAACTTGGCCTTTTTATAAGAATGAGCCAGAAATCTTCTCTCTATTGACATTGGTACTTGTATATTTGTGCTACTTAGGTGATGTGGAATGAGAAAGCAGAGAGCAGGGAAAACATGCAGATCACACAGGAACCCAAGCACCGTTGTTTAAACGACACACTGTATGTAATTAACCCTTTATTTCACTCTGTGCTTGGGTTCTACTCTATAGGCATCATCCTTGGTTATAAAGACCCTACTTGCCAGGTAGGAGAAGAAGTTCCCATCTACATTATTGTGTCCTATTCTGAGAGATATCTGAGAATGATCGAGGCGACCAAAGAGTATTTTGGAGGCTGACTTACCTGTTCTGCCCATCGTCATCTTCTGAGCCGACAGTTCACCAGAGATGCAGCTGATGGTAACTTGGTAAAGCCGTCCAGGAACTAAGTCTTTAAATTGAGTTTCAGTAACACGGGGCGCTAACGTTTTGGATTCTTCAATGGTCCCTTGGTAAGACAGGGTAATGTTGTAGGAATCTACATCTCCAGGAGGTTTTTGCCACTTGACTTTCAGAGAGGTCGGACTGCCATCATTTGTCACCTTCAGATCTGAGACTTCCATAGGAGCTAATTAGCAATGAATGGAAAAGAGATTTTACTCCTCATCTCTTGCCTTCCCTACAGCCGCATTCTGACCTACACTTTAATGCCTGCAGGACATACTCTTTGATCAAGAGGAAATCGCTTGAGAGACAAAATGGTCCTGGAGATCCAAGAACGACCATGCTATGGCAAGAAAACTATCTTGCAGTCAGGAGCCTGAATTCTGGCTGGAACTTGGCAAGCCGCCCGCAGAATACTGGACAGTTCTCCATCAGTCTCACTGTGCCTCCTTGCTCCCTGACAAATAAAGCTTGGTTAGAAGACTTTCTGTATTCCTTTGCGGCTCTGGGATGCTTTAGATAGAATTCACCAAGAGGTCCGCCATCCACTTCATTTCTTTGTGAGTGTGTTTGTGTGTTTCTACATTTAATAACATCAAGTGCACACTAAATAGGTTTGGTAGTTGTAAAAATTTGTGTGCTAAAATACTTTTAAAAAGGCTTTGTGTGCGTGTGTGTGAATGTATGTCTCATGTGTCCAAGTGCCCACAGATGCTAGACAAGGACATTAAATCTAAGGAGCTGGAGTTACAGGTAGTTGTGAGCTGCCCAATGCGGGTGCTAGAAACCAAACTCTGAAAACGCAGCAAGTACTCTTAACAGCTGAGCCATCTCTCAAACCCACTAAGATACCTTTTATATTAAGTCATGATAAAAAGTTGTGTTACTCTTTCATCAAAGGAAAGCTCATGACAAGAAATAACCTGTGATGAATATTTTTCCTACCTCTTACGCATGCTGGAACTATGCCTTATGGCATAATATAAATTAATGCAGTTTCAGTAAAAGAGTGTAGAACAGTGATTTTGCATGCTATGCTCAGAAGTGTGATTTGTTTGTTCTCTCTTTCTCTCAGACTGTCTTTGTCTCTCTCTCTCTCTGTGTCGCTCTCTGTTTCTGTCTCTGTCTCTCTCTCCCTCTCTCCAGTCTAGGACGGCCTAGAACTTGCTTTATAATCAAGGCTGTCTACAGACTTGTGGTCCTCCTGCCTCAGCTTTCTGAGTGCTGGGATTACAAGCGTACGTCTGGCTGTATTTGCTCTTGATATTCACAAACATCTCTTAAGACATTCTGTGCATTTTTCTTAGGAACATCTTCATATTTTTGGAGTGTGTTAGAAAAGATATTCGAATGTGTCTGAGTTTCCAGTACCTTTTTCCGCAGCCTCCTTTTGTTCCAGATACTCCCCCTACCAGAGCAATTTCAAAGGTACTCCCTTATCTTACAGCTTATTTTAAAGTGAGATAACTCACAAAGAGAAGTTTATCAACACATTACACTAATTAGGACCATTCAAATGAGTTCCACGAGAACTCTGGCACTGTCTACCTTGAATGGTACTAACCTGTAGTGCTTGACATATACCTAACACTCAGTAAATATTGACTAAATGGATCAGTGAATGAACAATTCATTAATAAGTAGCATCAATTAGCTTTTTTTTTTTGGTTTTTCGAGACAGGGTTTCTCTGTGTAGCTTTGCACCTTTCCTGGAACTTGCTTTGGAGACCAGGCTGGCCTCGAACTCACAGAGATCCGCCTGCCTCTGCCTCCCGAGTGCTGGGATTAAAGGCGTGCGCCACCACCGCCCGGCTCAATTAGCTTTTTCAGAGGAGGTTGGGTTATGTGACTGGGTCCCACATCATGTTCTTTTGGGTAGAGAGTTTTGGAAATAACTGTCCTAAAAGGCCATGTTTCTATACACCCCCAACTCACTGCAGATGATCCCAAAGATAAGCGATGCCTATTTACGAGTCAGAAGTAGGAAGCCTTAGGCATGTATTAAATGGAGGAATTTCAGCCATATCAGCAACTAACTTTATCAGCTTCAAAATGCTGCCACAGGCGAGCTTTAACTTTGGAATAAAAGACTCATTTTTCTTCAGTAAAGTGCAGGTATGTTAAAGTCTTTCTATAACTCATATGAGTTTCAGCTTGTCCTACATTACCATTACCCAAACAACAACCCCTATTTAAACTCAATTTGAGCTTTGCTCTTGTTTAGCTGAAGAAGGGGAACTCACCCGTCCTCACTGGTTTCCACCTATAGTTTTGGAGTCCTGAGGCCATGGTGATAATAGTGAGGTTGTAGAGGTGTCCAGGGGTCAGTCCATGAAAAGCGTACGAAGAATCATGCTTGTCCACAGTCCTGTCTTGAACTAAGGTCCCTTTATCCATGAGCACCAGCCTGTACTGTTCCACATTGCCAGAGCCACGAGACCAGGAAATTCGGAGAGAATTAGGACTGGGGGAAATGCCAATATCTTTCACTGGAGATGGTACTAGTGGGAAAAAAAACACATATCCACAGGGTCATTCATAATCCTCTTGTAGAAGACATAGACATAGTTCTTTAATTTACATGTTTATTTATACTTCTCTTTATATTTTATCATAGCAATAATCAGTAATGGTCCTCAAGAGTTCACTGGAACCTTCATTAAACACCTTTATAAAGTCCGCAGGCTTTAAGGGCAAAGGGACATTATACATTGCCTGTTTTGTCTCCTCTGCTTTATGGAGATGAAGGTGGGTGTGGCCAATGCAGTGTACTGTTGACAATAGGGGAGATAAAGGAAGAAACTGTAGGAGGTGAAAATGGGAGGAGAAAGAGAGGAGAATAAGTTACAGGAAAGCCACGCACTTTCTGGGAGTGATATCATGATGCATGGGGACACTAGATGAATTCTTTTTCACCATATTCAGGAAGCAAAAACTTACTTTAGACACGGGAGTATTTAGAAGACATCATTACCTGGTATTATGAAAATGTACAAAAGAGGAAAAATACATTTTGTGATGCCAATTTGGAAAACGAGTCAGAAAAATCTCGTTTTCCTGGATTTCAGTTAGACAGGCCTGTAGGGAGTCTCTATTTTAAATAAGAGAAAATTCTGTTTTCAGAAAAATCTCGTGACTTGTTTAAGATCACCTAGCCAGGTAGCAGCACATTGACACACCCCATACTCAGTCCACTCTCCTCTCCATTATAACCTCCCTTTAAAAGGTTATTTACGTTATTCACTTATGGTGGGTGGCATAGTTCCATTTCCTTTGATAACATATCATTTTGAAGGTGCTGTAGAGGGCTGAGGAGTGTTCGCCTAGCATGCAGGGGTCCCTGGGGTTTCATCCCCAGCACCATCAAAAAGAAGGAAAAAAAAAAACAAGATTATCGTAGACTATTTACCACAGACAACACAGATCTTACCTGTTGACCCATTGGTATACACGGGGAAGGAACGTTTTTCTCCAGAAACAGCCATGACGGCGATTCTGTAATTACTACCAGCAGTGAGGTTCAAAAAGGTGTATTGGCTCCATGGGTTACTTTCTTGAACTTGGACCTCTTGTAGCTTTTGACTGTCATCATCCAACAGTTGCACCTCGTACCAGGTGACTTTGCCAGAAGAAGGGGTCCACCGCACCTGCAGGGTAGTTGAAGTTGTCTTCTTGGGGTTGACTTCAAACCTAGCAGGAGGCAAGGGATCTGCAAGGCAAAACCATCAAAGAGAAGGCAGCATGAGGGCTTTGAAAATAACCTGTTTATTCTGCCGAAGCCCAGGTTCATTTTCCTTAAAAATTTAAAGAATCTGCTACCTGGGGGGAAAAAATCTGGCATGTTGCCATACTTGCAAACCCAGTGTTCCGTTTTTCAAAGACAGGGCTCCCTTACCCAATAGTGACGTGAACTCCTATTTGATAAGTCCTTAAGGTAGGTCTGGCCTTGAAATCTCAATCAATGTTTTCTTTGACTTGCCAAGTTCAGCATGTTTTTTAGACATTGACAGGGATACAGCCTGTGCTTGATTAATTACCGATGATCCAACCAGAAAATACAAACTATTAAGAGATAATAAGAGTTGGAAATTTGTACTCAGCCTCTTCCTGGGTTGTGGATTCTTGGTGTTATTTACCTATGTAAGTTTGGGTAGCATTTAGCTATTAGATAATCACAAAAGACACAGCTTTGATATTGATTCTAAAATAAGAGTTGCTTAACCAAAATCAATGCTCTCACTAGCTGGGATTACTAAACATCCTTAGATTTTTAAAATCTTAGTTCTGCAGCATGCTGGAGTTGCCAGGGACCCTGGAGCTCGTGGGATCGATAGTGTTTTGCACTGAACAATTCACTTCATTTCATTTCTCAAAGTGAGGGTCAGTTTGGGGAGCATGCTCTTCCTGTGCCGAATCTTCACCATTGACCTTGTATCAGGACGGTATCAGCAGATTGGGAACTGGGTCCACAGCAGTTCATGAGCAGCTCTTCACTAGGTATAGTGAGGAGTCAAACATGTGAAATCAGTCTGTCCCTACTTTGTGCGCAGAGGCCAGACCCATTGAGAAACATCCACATGAAAAGGATTAGCAATCCTGCATAGTTCTTGGCCCTCAACGTCAGAAGGAGATAGTGGGGGGGGCAATTTATAAGTCAGGCCATTTGTTTGAGTGGCATAGCTTTACAGACCTCAGCTTTATCCACCTCCTGATGGGCTGCATTTTGTTCATGACATCAAGAATTATAGACGTACTCATAAGAGTGCAATTAAAAGATGATGCCCATTTGCCAATAACACAACTCCAACAAGTAAGCTAACCTCATTCTATACTCAAATGTCATCTGTGGCCAGACAGTTCCTAAGACTATCATCTATGGGTGAACAAGATATCATATGGGTAATACAGCTTATGAAACTCCATACCTTCCTGTCTTATGCTATTATTTATATGAATTCATCATTCAGTAAAAATTAAATATGACACCGATGTACCAATAATTATTAAAAATACAAAGAGTAACTGACAAGCAAATTATCTCAGAGAGAGGGCCCAGAGCACAGGTGAGCTTTGAAAACAAGCGCACCTCACACTGTGTTTTCAACCCCTGTGTTCACCCGTAGGTTCTAGTTCTAACACTCGGTGACTTTGAATCTGGCTCTATGGCTTGGTGGTTCTATACTTGGGCAATTTGTGATGCTCAAAGTTAGCTGTCTGTATGGGTCCTATTACACGCTGATAATCTGCCACAGAACCAGTGACATAGAGTCCTAGAGAGCATGGACTTTGGGATTAGATAGAGCTGCATTCAGATCTTGACTCTATTGCATAGCATTTATGTGACACTGTGAGTGACTGGTACTCCATCAAAACTTCTATCTCCCTATTTGTCTGAGTGTAATAACAGCAATAATAGTAGTAGTAGTAGTAGTAGTAGTAGTAGTAGTAGTAGTAGTAATAATAATGACAAATACCAGAGTTCCAAGGAGTTTTGAGAGCAAATCAAGTATAGAGGAGATTTTACTCAGATGCAATGGGTACTTAATACAAAATCTTATTTCTGTCTCATTTATCAAACATTTTCTTGTGAATCACTGATAACAAGGAGGCAAAAGGAAAACAAAAAAATTTGCAAACTAAGCTGATAATATCTTTAATTGCTTCTGCTATTTGAAATAAAAAGTCTTGGTAAAATCTTGGAACTAATTTTCTAACTCTTAAGTTAAAATAATTTCCCAAGACGATTTTTATTCATAGTTTTTTTTTTAATTGAAAAACTAGAGTTTTTTTTGTGGGGGGAGGAGGATGGGGGTAATGTTATTTAAATTTTCTATCCCACACAGCAGATGCCCTATCAAAAGGAAAGAAGGCAATTTCTCCTCACACAGGGTTTATAGGTGCCTGACAAGAATCAGGTATCCAACACCATGAGATTCTACTAGCCAGCAAGCCTCAAGAGCAACCCAGTAGGACCAAGCAGAAGTATTCTCGCTGAAGTAGCATTTTAAGGGCAAGGGTGACAGGGATAATTTCACTCAGTGCCGGTTCCAAAGAGATAAATCTTGCCATCTATGCCTACTACCAAGCCAGATAAAGGTGAAAGAAAATGTTATGACCGGTATAATCTCATTATACATAATCTGCAAAATAGGAGCTGTACCAAAGGGCGGTGGGGGGGGGGGGGGGGAGAAAAAAAAATGAATTCTCAGGTTGCGTGCCGAGAGGTTGAACTTCAGAAATGCGGACTTCATCTAATCTCTCTGAGCCAGAAAACAAAACAGTCGATCCTTTGTACATCCGGCAGAACAAAGAAACAATGAAACTGGGAAGTGCCTGGGCTGCGGGAACCTGCCCTGGAAACAAACCCTTAAAACCCCATTTACGCTGTGATAAAGCCCAGCGCTGGCAGCGGTCCACGGCTGCTCGGCATGCTGCAGAAACTAAAGGGTTTGGAGAACTCTTTTTAATCTAAGCCCAGCAGAAATTTCACGGTATTAAAAACATTTTTCGATTTCATAGGAGATATAAATCATAGGCTTCTATCTGGGGTGCAGGCTTCTTTGATGTCAATCAGTGTGTATGATATGTTTGCATGGGTATGCATGTGTGTGTGTGTATGTGTGTGTGTGTGTGTGTGTGTGTGTGTGTGTGTGTGTGTGTACTGGTACACAGGCATGCCATGGCATGTATGCAGAGGGTAGATCACAACCTTGGGTGCCCTTGTATTCCACCTTATTTTTGGAGACAGGCTTTCTTTGTGGCTGTCACTACACACAAGAGGCTGACTGACCCATGAGCTTCCTGGGATTTTATTCTTTCTCTATTTCCCAACTTGCCCTGGGAGCCCTGGGGTTATAGACATGTGTTGCCATGCCTGTGCTTGTGTGTGTGGGTTCTGGGGATTCTGAATCAGGTCCTCATATTTGCATGGAAAGCATTACCCACTGAGCCATCTCCCATCCCCCAATTTTTTAGAAATAATTTATTTATTTTTATTTTATGTGCATTGGTGTTCTGCCCGTATGCATATCTGCGTGAGGGTGCCAGATCTTGTAGTTACAGATGGTTGTGAGCTGCCATGTGGGTGCTGGGAATTGAACTCATGACCTCTGGAAGAGCAGTCAGGGTTCTTAACCCCTGAGCCATCTCTCCAGTCCCCCCACCCCCAAATTTTATATGTACGTATGTATGTATGTATGTATGTATGTATGTATGTATGTATGTATGTTGTTGTATGTTGTGGGAAGGATTTTAACATTGTTTGACAATTTATTTAAATAACCACCAATCCGATTTTTCTGTTCTCAAAAGAAAAGACAAAGCTTGGCAAAATTCCTAAGCCAAAATGAATTATGTTTTCCTTAAAAAGAGAAAAAAAAAAGTCGCTTGGAAAGGAGAAAATTATATTTCTAATGCAAGTAATATTTAATTCCTATAATTCTTACCAGTGAGGTTACTGAAAAACATTAGTGTTTATTGATATAAGGATTTCTAGGCTTAGAATTGGAAATGATTGAGTCTATTTTAGAAATAAAGTTAAACCCAGAAGAGTGCAGCTAACCTATGCATTGGTGTCGACAGGTATCTGGAACCTACATTATATCTGTGTAGGACACCATGATTTACAACGAGCCTTCTCTGCTTAGAGAAGCTTAGACACAGTGAATTAGGCTTGAGGAAGTACAACCAAATCTCTGACACCCGGTGCAAACTGTGTGTTCTTCCCAGCACGGGAAATGCTGCCCTGAATTGCATATTCAGTGTAACCACCACCAAACAGATGTTCGTGGAAATGACAGGTATGTCTATAGATCTCCTCAGTTGATAGCGTACTCAACGGGAGTAACCTATGTCTAGTTCTAGGCCCATGGAAGCTCCCTCGAACTACTGATTGATTTATCATTTTAGGAAGCCAATCGGGAGTTTATTAAGAAGTGGTTGTAGCACAGAGCTGAGCATGAGCTTTGAGAGTGTGGGCAAGAGACACATAAAACAGCAGCCAGAATCATGCCCTGGAGTGGATGTTGGCTTCTCAAGGGAGTCACCCCGTTGAGTTCTGAAGTGTTTTCCTTCTCTGTTCCTTTCCCTGGTTGTTTTAGTGCATTTACCCGAGGTCCTATCACTTTGTGCTGCACTACTGCAAGAGACGGTTAGGTGTTTCCCTTACGTCAGGGCTTCCCTCCACTATTGCCCATTTATCCTGTGTGTGCCTCTCCCAGCTTCCATCTGCACCCCACTGAAGCAGCAAGATCTTCATTAGCATCCACTTCAAGGCAGAGCCCAAGTTTCCTCACAGGCACTCAAGGCTTTCCTGGCTTTAGACAGTGCCCTTCTTTCTAATTGTATCTTTCTTTAGGGTCTCCCTCAAGCTCAGGAGACCTCTGGGCACCCAGAGCCAAGTTCTGGTACTTTACAGAAACCAGGACAGCTATCATTCTTATTTAAAAGCAGGTGGGTAGCAAGCTTGATCGATTGCAAGCAACGTTTACTTGGCATTTTATATAAACTGGAATGGACGTCAATGATTCAAATAAAATAATCAGAGGGGTTTTTTTTCATGGAAATTACGTGAGGGGTGTGGAGTATAATTTCAAATAATTCCTGCTACATGCTCTTGAAAATGAGGAGAAAATTAGCACAGGAAAGGCATTTCCCACAGTCTCCAGCACATTCAATACATTTCTTGTGGAAAGAATTTCCTTTGTTGTT